TCTTCGCTTTTGACTTTTATTTCTGCATAACAGGTTTCCGTTATCCAATAAAAATGACCGATGAGACTTACAATAATAGTAATAAAAAAAGTAAAATAATAATAGTAATAACGTATTCAACTACACAGTTGGACTCTAGTAGAAAATCTCGATACTCGATTTTCTTTGTTTGGTATTTTTCCTTCTGAAGTTATTCGATAGAAGGGAGTTGGCCCCGGGGCTAAAGTAGCAGCTGGTCTTACCTGAGACACACCTGCCTGGTTCAGGGTCCTATTTCCTCCTGTTCTTTTGTCTCGTAACGGGGGCCAGGGGGCTATTTCCTCTTTCTGTATTGGAATTTTGTATGTGAAACAGTGAATCAAAACAGGTAACACCATCTGTTTAATCGCCATTCAATACTATCCTTCTTAGGAAAGATATTTTTAGTAGCTTTTTTTTAAATATATTTCTCTTATACTAACACCAGAAAAAAATAGTAGAGTACACACGTGTTAACAAATATCGATAAGAGGATATTCTATAAAGATGGAACGGATCCAAAAGTGTAAATAACTCTTTTGTTAAAATATATGACATACAAGAAACATTCATCTTTATAAAACGTGATATAAATGGCCTAATTTTGTTCGCGTGCTAAAAAAGGTATACAAATTTCACCCCTTTAGCTAGTGTTGTATAAAACAAGATAAAAAAACGGAAGAGTTTAAATTTCACTTAGAAAGTTGTTCTTGTGATGCTTACGTAAAAAAATCTTTGTGTACGTTTCGGTTTTCTTCAGTTTCAGTTCCGTTCGTTGACTAGTGTTCACCCTTTAAACGTTTTGGGAAACAGACGGCACTCCCAACGACCTGCAGTGACACAGATATGACACACACGTGACTCAAGAACAGAGAGTGCCTTGTGGTATTATTGGACCGACTCCAAACCTTCTTGGCTGAGTTGGGTGCTAACATTAAATGGCAATTTTATCAAATAGGACATCTCCGTCTGAAAGGGGGGAAATGCCAGATACGGTTGAAACTCTGCCATTGTAACTACTGCACCATTAGATACTCATTTAATTAATTTGTTATTCCGGGTTACACAGATCTGAAAGGGAAATAGCACTGCAACATTGTTTTATAGTTTTTAAAAACTATAAAACAATGTTGCAGTGCCATTTTAACGTTTTTGCATTGGATGGCGGACGAGTAGCCTACAATAAAAGGTCGACTCCGCCGTGGAATTGTTATTACCTCAACAGCGTGTGAAGGGACCGAATGAAATTGACTCATCCTGTATGTATAGTCTCAAGAAATATAGTTTTTTGTAAAAGTAAAAAAATTGTTTTATAGTGTTACAATTTTCGCAACAGCTGTTCCGTCTATGCTTAACCTACCTTTAAACGCATCCTCGTGTTTACTTTCTCGACCACCCGTTTGCATGGGGGACGTATATGCATGGTAGTATCAAAAGCTGACCCGAAATTATGTCACAATAGCAAAAGAGTGAGCTTAAGGTAAACATCGCATAAACACTTCGAAATTTAGAAAAATTCCTTACATAGCGTGATAAATTCGCATTACCAACGTGAAAAAAGACCGTGACTAAATCGAAAAGTTAAATGGGGATTAAAAAAACCGAAACGGCGTCGAAAATCACACATCACGTATATCAAAAGTCGATGAAACAGGTGATTTTCAGCTGTAATCGCTCCCATCACGTTAACCAGTTAGATGTGCCGTTTTGATTGCCGTTCGAAATTAATAAAACTAACAGTTCTACCAGTTAACGGATAAAATATCGCACGATCTACACTTCATAACCTGAAAAAATCGTGCAACTTGTTTATTATTTTGGATGCAGTTCAAGTATTGTCTTAAGTAACGTTGACGTAATCTTATTCGGAGCAAGAGCAAAGCAGCTGTCGTCTCGCCGGCTAAATAGGAACATGTGCTTCGGGGTCACGTGATTGATATAGGTCAGACGCGTATCATTTCCATCGTTATTTTTTTCTGTTTATAAATAAGCCACCACATGCAGTTTTTTTAATTTTTCGTCTGGACGATCTCGTGAATGGAAATGGAGGACGAGTGACTCTTTCCATTGGACAAATCTAGAAACGGAGGACGAGATATACTTTTTATGATAAACGAGTAGAGCGTATCCCCTGTAAACGGGCTTATTCGCATTACACATCTGTTAGGCGGCAAGCTGCATTCAATCGAAATTTATGACGACGCTACCGCTGTTATAAATTTTAAAACAACGAGATGTCTCGAACGATACAGGTGAAACTACCTCTAAAAGTTTACTTTTTTTAACGTCTTACTTAAGGTGCTTTTCTTCGCTCTTTCTAAAGTCAAATTAATTTTTAGTCCTTTTTTTTTTAATTTAAGCAATCGTCTTCGTACTTTAATATACACAAAACACTTTTTTTCCGGTCTCGAGAGATTATTTAATAACAAAAGTCTGAATGATTTATACAGTATTGCAGAATTATAAACCATTCTAATGATTAATCGAATCAATTTTTATAAATCTCAAGTGTCCATTAATTTAAATTGCAGTTTTGTAACAAAATCTTAAAAATTCTATCCTTTGTCATAATTTGTAAAGAATAAGTAATGTGTGTCTTTGTGCAGGTAAGGCTCTTTAATGTTTGTTTTTTAAGTTCCCATTAGCTTAATTTTAAAAAAAGAAACTAAATTTAGAATATGTAAAATATTATCTAGACGTAAACACTATAAAAATAATTTTTTTAAAGTAATTTTATAGGAAGAGACGTAATAAGTTTTGACTGTAGAATATAAACCATTGGTGGAATCGTCGTTAAAAAAAGGTTTGCCTGCTGGTGGTTGACCCGTTTGTCAAGCGGAACAGATAACAGAAAAGACACGTCTGGATGATGGTTTTAAGCTCGAACCAACAGCTGTTTTGTAGTCAATAAATGCGAGTTTTGTTCGTACGGATCCCAGTTTTATTCAAGACAAATATATATTTTTTGTTTACCGAACGAAGATAACCGTTAGGATTAATCGTTTGTTCTATGTTTAATCGAGATATTTCCGGCCTGGCAATAACAAATAACGGAAATCAGAAAAATAATCTCTCTCATAACGACGCCAGATTTGGACAATGTTAGGGTGGTTTATGGGGGTATGTGGATTAAGTTAGTTCTGATTGGTACAGTGTTGGCGGCTTGCATGATATTTTTTTTATCTTTTGAGTTTTATGGATTAACGACATTTCCAAGATGAAACGAAGCCGTTGTTTTAAGAATTGATAGCCTAGCCGGGGAGTTGAGCCGATATTTTAACAATTGCGGGTAGTAAAGTTGATGTTTTCGGCTAAATTGCTAACTTTACCGTTAAATGTGTGTTTGGCCAATTGGTAATTCGGTATTGGGGTGAGAGACATTTTACTAATTGAGGGAATTAGATTTATAGCCGGAAATGGGGATGTTTTTTCCTTATCAACAGATATTGTATCGCGTAGATTATTGCTGACGTTTTATCAATTGGGAGTCTCACGTGCTTATTGCAACTTATATTTCACTAATCAAAATCGAAAATATGAACGAAAGCAACATTTTACGGGAAGAGAAGGAATTGGCATTTTACCAACTGGAACCGAAAACAAGAATGAAACCGATAACTTTACCAATTGGTGCAGAGCTGGAAGTGATATTTTATCAATTGGTATCCTTGTGCAGGAATTGAAACTGGCATTTTATCAATTGGTAGTCTAGTTCAGGAGTTAGAACTGATATTTCACCTTTTTCGAACACCCAAAAACTAGAATAAAACTGAAAATGCAGGGTTGGAAACGATGTTTTAGTCTGTAGCTTATTTCAAAGTTTGGAAATAATGTTTATTGGAACTATACGTTAAACATGAACGAAATTTGATATTTTGATGATAATTTTGCAAAAGGTATTAATCACAATGAAACCTATGAATGAAACTAACGTTTTAATACTGTAGTAGTACAGCAAGAAAGTACTGTATAATTGTTGTTTTATCAGCTGGTTACCTAGTGTTGAAGGTTACGACTGATGTTTTATCTATTGGAACCAAAAGTATGAATGATATTTTATCAATGAAACTCGTATAAAAAACCAATTATATTTTTGCATTAATCTTCATTTCATAAGTTGAAAAAATTTTCGTATTTTTATTTTTATTTGATTTTCTTAGTAAAGAAATGAGGTGAAATTTTAACTGAAACCAAAACCAAAATTCAGTTGATATTTTCGTTAATAATATAACGCAGAATATGAGTAGATATTTATGTAATTTTTGTGTGTAATGTGTTATAAATTAGCTGTTTTATGTACAGGAAATGGAACTTGTTCTACCTAGCAATTGTTAGTTTTGATGTATGAATGGGCCAATTTCATTATCAATTGGTAGTCTAGTACTGGACTGAAGTGCTATTTTACTAACTGCTAGTCTGGTGCAGGAGTAAAGACGTATTTAGCTAATTGTAGCCTAATGCTGGAGAAAAGACGTTTCTAGATAATTGTAACCTAGCCAGAGAATGAAAGACATGTTTACTCAATTGTTTGCCTAATACAGAAATACGGTTGGTAGCACCTGTGTTATAGTAAAGCTCTCAATTCATCCAGGCAGTCAAGATAGAATTTTTGGCCAATCGGAAACAGTTTTATTATATAAAAAAAAGGAAAAAACTGGAAATCAACCTTGGTATGACATCATCGAGTCGCGAAGCGTTAGCGTGTACGAGTTACACAACTCGACACCAATTTTCTGCCTACGCCCACATAGAGGACTTTTACGGTCACTGTTTTAACGATCATCTCCACGTTGCTTTCTCTAATATCAAAACCTTCCGTAGAATGACCGCGATGGGACAGATCGATGCACGCCAGTCCTACTTTCGTCATTTCAGAAACTAGTTCAGCAGACACAGTTACAATTTCACCCAAACTGGTAATTAAAAAGAAAAAATAAACCCACGCACATACACAAACTCGCAGACTGATTTTGTTTTCCACCATTTAAAAATACTCGAGAGAAGTTGATGTTCAATTTTGAACACGCTCCCATTGGGTCTGGTGCAGCTGGAAGGTGAAGATAAGCTTGTTGAGATGAAAGGAAATGTTTTACTGCCTAACTAAATCGATTAGGCCTATAAAAGTTTTGCTTGTAATTAGGTATTTGAAGCAGAAATTTAGTTTAAAAAATATATTTATGCTTGTACTAGTTTTCAAATCTATCGATAATACATCCCCCGACAATAGGGGATGTGGGCGTTGATAACCAGAACAAAAGCAAGATCGTTAACCTCCTCAATCAAAAAACATCCCACTTATATTAATTATAGAATAAACAAGCCATCAGATTTGCCCATTCAGAAAAGTTCGACTGTAAAAATAGCATTGTTACGCCACAGATCTTAACCTTTGATAGCAACTTTATAAATCGAGAAGTTAAAATATTATCAATTCATTCTTATCATCATTTTAATCTCTACCGATGCTTAATTTTTATTTTTTAACGTTCTAATTTTTGTTATGTAAAAAATATTACGATATGCTTTGATAGGATAATCTGCGACGTCATTCGCGTGTATTTTTTCTCAAAAATTTGCTTCCTCATTGTGAGTTACATGCATATAATCACCATTTTTCAAAGTCTAATAAGTAGAGAGAAATTTTTAAACCAGGTGCGCTGTATTGGTTTGCCTCAGGTGTGGTTTAAAGATCTCCCAAAATTTGGCCCCTCGCCCGAGTACAGGGCAAACAGTGCCTTAGTAGAAGAAAGTGGCACAAGTAGGCTGTGCACTTCGTGTGTATGGTATGTGACAGTTCGTGACGCGTGACACTTTTCGGACTTTTCGCAAGGTGGAAGTAGACCGGTATGACTATTGGTAGTTTTAACTCTCTATAGAGCTTTTATTTGTTCACTTCGTATGGTTATTGTAAAAAGCTATTATATACTTCTGGGAGAGATGATTTTTCTGTCATTTCTTTTAACGTCACGTTATATCTTGATCCGTCACGAAATCGTATAACGAACAGATCACCACGTTAAGCAATCGATGAACGTATAATATTTCGTCCTTACATATTTACTAGCCTCACCTTTAAGCATACGGTTAAAGTAGTACGGGGAAAAAACGAAATTAATTTTGTAATACAGTATCGTTACATAAAGTTTTATTCGGTATACTTGATATGTAACTTTTTAAAATTTATTTAATAAATGTTAATAATAACTTATAAATAGGTTTATTAAGAAAAGAACGAAGTTTTATCACATGAATAGCAAACATTGATTTTTGTTTCCGTATCTTCCTAATTTTATTATTAATTTTTTTGCGATTATTCTTGAGAAAATCAAGGTGGGTATCCTTTACACCGTCTAGCCGACTAGACGATCGAATGTCTCGTCTAAGAAACCTTTCTACGCACAGAAGTATTTGTTATTATTCTGAATATTAATCAAACATACCAAGCATAATATTTAAAAAATGCTATAAATTTTTACCTTTATACTTGTCTATCTAAAGAATTTTCCTGGTATTTCATTTCAGGAGAAAATAGCTGGAAAATATATAAAGTAATAAAATTTATATTAATCACGTAGGATTTATTAAAATAAAAATGCTAATGTAAAGTTTAAACATAGTAATAAGATTTCATCACTTCACTTGACATGCTTAAGATTCTAATAAATGTAAAACACCTTTAAGCTAAGCTGCAGGAAGTAAATTAGATTAAATAAAACTGCAGAGAATTATATTTGAAGAATTTTAATTGTATTATTCAAACGGAATTAATAAAAATCAACTTAAACAATTGAAATTTTTGCTTTGTTAATGAATAAAATCATCTGTGAAACAAGAATTGTTATGAAAAGATTCAATGCCTTCCAGTACTTAACAAGCTTGTTTATAGAACCTATTGAAAATCAAATCTGCTCCTAGCCAACGAAAGATATAAAAATAATTAAATTCAGCTGTATGAGTCATACATGATATTGTGTTATGTTATGGGAGATTTTTAAAAGATTAAAACCACATAAAGACCCAAGGACTGTAGCCGGTGCTGTATGTTAAAATAATGCAAATGAATTTAATCTGAATAATGTAGAGAATGTTGCATTTAATATGGAAACTTGTTTGTAAGACTCATGCCACTTAAATTAAAGAGATGACACAACTAGATAATATGGGCCATACACAAATTACATTTGTTACTCTTACAAATTTATTATAGTTAGACCTCTATACTAACCTATGCAAATTGCAATTAAATATTTGTCAAAAGACATTATTATTAATTTTTATATAAAATTGTTTTTCTCTCACGCTTTATGAATGTTAAATTTCAGTAGCCTAAATTTTAATTTAATTTAAATTTTGTTTTGCTTATCTAGACCTATTTTTATGATATAAAATATATGGATTCATTTAAGTGTTCATTAGCCCAGTTTTTAAATCTCTTAATAATTGCTATGAGAAGAAGCTTTATGACTGAACTGAATTCTTGTAATAAAGCTTGAATTAAAAAAAAAAAGTGAAATTTAACCTCTCAGTTAAAGAATGTAAACAAATGTGTCACATCAAAAAGAAAAACAGAAAAAAAATGTAAACAGTTAATAAATACTGTAACTATAAAGAAATGAGTCTGTCTACATTAATACAGTAGCAATTAATAAATGAAAGAAACCTTTTAAAAATTCAATACAGAATTCTATTTATTTTTTATAAAAGACTAAAACTAAACCAGCAACTAGCAATACATTATAAAGCAATAATTATAGTATTTAACAAGGTACATTGATAGAAAATTGTCTAGCTGCTAATTGTTGTTAATTTCAACAACTTCAGTTACATTATAATAATCTTTAATGTATATTTTCATAATATATTTTATCAACTTTTGAATCTCTTCAATCTTATATTTAAAACTTTTCCTAATCTGTCTTCTCTTAATAATGATCATTACTATAAAGTCTGATATAATCCTAGAGGCCCTAATGAAAAATAAATTAAGAAAATTAATATATTCGAATAATTAAGAGGCCCATTTCTGAAATATATTCAAAGAGACAAGAACCTTTTTTCTCCTGTACAGTTGTATTGTTATTAAATGTACATTTTCCATCACAAAAAGCTCTATAAAAAATCTTTATATAGCAAAAGAAAAGAATAGATTTTGGAGAGCAAGAATAAAACAAAACGAGTGAAGACCAAAAGAAATATTGTAAGTGCAAAAAATTTTCTCCGCTTATCCAGAAGTAACCTGTCAAGTTGTATTAAGAGAAAGGTATTGTTAAAAGTGTTTGTGTGGTTTGACTATTGTTTTCACAAAGGTTCCTTTTTTCTCAGTGACTTCTTGCAGTGATCTATTTTTGCTAGAAGATAAAAGAGAGTCAACCATTTTTAAATATTTTATTAAAAAAAAAGAAATTCAACAAGCAAAAATTTAGTTAAAAAAAAAAATATCAGGTGCATTACCCATTAGAAATCATTTCCACTATTAATTGAGATCAAAATAATTAAAAAGTAATTAAATAATTTCACTTGTTTCAACATAATTTAACAACTATAATTATTAATTAACAGTTATTGTTTCTCTTAATATCTGTAACCTGTAGATAAAATTACAGCTTTATTAGTACAAATTTGAAAACAACTGAAGCATAAACATAATGATGGAAAACTGTTTGTTTAGAAGAGATTCCAGTAGGGATAAATGGCCTGATGATTTGGATGATGAACCCAAAGGTTAATAATAATAATAAATTCTGAAAATGCAAGTAAACTTTATTATACTCATATATAAACTTTATTTCTGTTTAAAAGCCCAGGCATTTAAAATTATATAAACAAATCTCATACAAAGTATAATAAACAATAAAATATAACAAACACATATATATAGTTATGTTTGATAAAAATGTAATTTCTGTGGGAAGATTTACCTTTGAAGTCAGAAAGTGATAATTAACTCAGATTTTATCAGTAAATGCGGAAGTCTGTCATATTGTACTATCTTGTATCTGGTAGAGGAGACTTCTAGATTAAGAATCTGATAAACTCTCAACAGGATACAGGTTAAACATATAATATTCCCCTAATTGAATATTTAAATAGGATGTTAAAATAGTTGACACATTAAAAAAAGTAATAAAGTGTGATAAATGTTAGCAAGTGAGACTAAAAGGCAATGATAAGTATAATTATAGAGTAAAAAATATTAAATGATGATTCTATTTTTAAATCTGAAGAAAGAGTGATTTAAAATTGATGTTGGAGAATTTTCACATATAATTTACTCTTAGAAATATGATAAATTATAGGATTAATGCCACTTTTAACATTTAAAAAATGAAACAGAAATGTTAACATATAATATTAAAGATGAATTTAAGTTATATTTTGTTAAATTTCAGAATTAAACAGGAAAAAATGTTTTAACATCTTAAAAATTTCAACTTCACAGACAGAATAAGAAGCTAAAGAAAATAACAGTAAATATTTGTAATTACAGCAAAAAAAAATAATAATAATAATTGCCTGTAAACTTTTAACACATATTTTGTAATTTTGTTTTCAATAAAGCTGTATTATTTGGTAAAGAAAACATATTGAGAGTTCTTATTAAAATTACATAACATTGTTTTGTCAATATAATCTTGTCAACATCACTTAAAAGCATCACATCAGCATCTCTATAGAGCATCATCATCTTGTCAGCATCATTTACATCAGTTTTTCTTTTAAAATTTTATTATTTTTCTTGGCATATAATTAAATTTATAATTATATATATTGAAAACAAAGTTTTACTTACCATTAATAATAATAATAATAATAATAAATTTGTTGCACAATGTATGTAATTTTTTTTCTTTCTTCACCTGCAAAACTTCTAAGTTACATGAATTAATAATAATTATAATAATAATAAAGTTAGAAAAAAAAAAGAGAAAAAACCCTGGCACTAATTCGTAAAAGTTGAATATTATTATTCTTTGACCTCATTATGTCGATCTTATGTAATAAAATAAAACATTTTGATTGGAATTATTAATAAAGGAAAAGTACTTTAGTTACCGTGGGAAATATTTAAGTATTACGTCACCGCAGCATTCGCTTGTGTTTAATGTTTGTTAAATCATTTTTTACAAGAGAACGTAGAAATTTCAGTTTTCGATGCACCCGATGGTAACTTATCTCCTACTCCGACGCCGTTTAAAAAACAAAGTCGAACTTTTTTAAAAGTATTTCGAAGGAGGGAAAAAAATCAATCGAGTCGATTCAGAGAGCGAAGACCCTTGATTACGTTCCCGCCAAAACTGGATTCCCCACGAATATCACGTGACCTCGTCTGCATTCCAGACGTAGTAAAATACTATAGAGAATTTCAACGTGGGTGATAACATACGCTATTCTATTTACATCTGGAAGTGGTACGTACTAAAAGCTCGTTTCGATCTCGAATAAGTTGGAGTTTGGTAGTAAAATTTCTTATAATTCGAACGATTTAACGAATCGAGTAATTAAAAATTGCCATGTATACGAGCAGACGTTTCAAATTCTCCCAACTGTTTCGACAGACAGCTGGTTCGCGTTGACCAACGTTCCCGCGCGTGACAGCTGATCCGCCTGACGACCGAAATATCATTACGCCTCGCGATGTAATCCCAAACTACCGTCGAATTTAACCACCATATAAAGGATAAAATATTAAAACATTATTGATTATAAGTAAATTAAACGTTTTGCCTCGATAAAAACGTGTAATTTTTTACATTTCGCCCGTTTATATAAACGCCAAACGTGGATTGATACCGAATGGCGTCGACCACGCGTTTCCCGCCAAACGCAGCCATTTGGTGAATCAAGGTGTTGTTGGGCGTTGTAAATAAGGCAAATTTAAAAGTGTTTTTTTGAGTAGAAAAACGGATAAAAATCAGCCGTACGATTCGTTTTTAAACGTCACTATCTTCGGATGATGGCAATATATCATCGGAACAGCGAAAAGAGAAGAATCGGGCACGAATTTCGTCGGCAAGAAGAAGAAGTCATCGGTAGCTTATGCAGGTAAGGCTGACAATGGCGAACCCTAACTAGGCTTAGCTCTACACGCAGACGGATGCTAACCGTTGAATAAAAACCGTATTTATATAAAAAATAAATACATCGGCGCCATTTTTAACGTAAATTCCACTTATAATTATTAAATCACGTTTAAAAATTAATTTCTATAAATATATTTTTTTACTTAATTATTATTAACACGAACATTAATTAATTATATAGAGTTAAATTAAGAATTTTTAAAATATTAAATTAATAATGAAAAAATCGCATAGGAATCATTATATTTTTCCTGTTATCACTTCCACGCCTGGCTTTATGGATTATAACAATAATTATTCGAAAATGTAATTAATTTATAATCGTAATTAGCTGTTAAATACGAATACGAAAGGTTACTGTCGACATGAATTCATTTTGTTGCGAGCAAATAGTGATTTTTGCTATGTCACATGGTGCTGAAAGGCCTCAACAGCTGTTGCGATCACGTGGTGCTGCCATATTTACGAATTTCCTTCCTCATTTTTCAGTTTTGACAAAAGGAAAAAAATAAATATATTTAGGAATAATTGTAAGTTTATTCTCTTTTATTGTTAGTTTATATGATTATTATTGTTATTAATATTAACTATAATGTTTTCCATCTGGAAAACTAGTACAAATAGTAAACAGGACAGTCACTAGTAATTCAACTAGAAGGGTTTATATTTATTTAGGACATTCACAGGAAATTTTCCATCTTTTTTTCTCTTCTTATTCAACTTTTATGAATATAATAATGTGAATGAGACGCATTAAGTAATACATAGTCATGTGTAGACAAATCAGTTTGCCAGGTTTTTATTTAGTAAAGTTTTAAATGTATACAACTTCTGATCTCTTACAGAAAACTGTTCTGTATCTGGGAGATTTTATAGAATTTAGTTATTAGTGTTTTTTTACACAATTCTTTTATTTTGCTGGCTATGTTATTAATATAGTTAAGTAAATTGTCGAGGCAATCAAATAGTCTACATATTCGAAAATCGTCATGTGTTCGGAGTATATGAGGATTTGCAATTCACCGTCAGTAATTCCCCTGTGTAGATAATTGTAGAAATGTAGCAATTAATCAAAAACGACACATCACCGGATGATTCTTCACTTTTAAATGCCGCCAACTCGGCACGGGCCCCTTTCAAACAGCGGAAACATACTCGAGAATATTGGTTTTCCAAGTTCGAGGGATCAAAGAAGAAACCCCCGGACTCTGTGCACTCGCAGATTATATTAGTAGTAGGCATTTAGTAAAAGATAATCAAGTTTCCTAACGGATAAAGTAAAAGTGTAGCCAGACTGGAAGCAAAAACAGCATTTACAGTTTTTTTTATATATTTTTTTATCGTATGCACCAAAATTAAATTTGTACAATAAATTTAAACATAAAATTTAATAATTGACGTGGATAATTTTCAATAATTCTCTGATTATAAATTTTGTATTCATTCAAAAATTAAGTGTTTGATATTTTTTAAATCTATTTATCAAAATATGCCCATTGGCTGCTTATATGTATATAATAGAAAGCGGCAACTAAGTAATTAATTAATTTCAAATTCCCATTTACCGAAGAAGCAGAAACGTATGATCTTGAATCAATATTTAGGAAGTGCTGTATTGAATATTGATGCGCTATTGTATAATATAGGAAAACGGGACGCGGGTCGGGTTATCGGCTCATTAATTCGCCAGGTGACTTAAATATTTGGTAGGCCACAGAATCCATCGTCGATAGAAAATGATAGGAAGGGACAGAAGAAGGGTTGGCGACACTCCGTCAAAGGGCACGTTTGTGTGCTGCACGTCAGCCATTCGTCCACACCGGGCATCATGGCTGCGGCGAGTTGGCAAAATGCCAGAGGCCCGACCGACACGTCTTCGGTCGGCGTCTGGCAGCTGTTAACGATCTCGTAACAGTCGGCAAAACCCCCGGCCGGATCAGCTGCCGCAACGGCGGATCCACGGCGCCACGCTCTCGACGACGCGGCCACAGTAGCGGTAGAACGGCCGGATAACGCCGGTTGGCTTCTCGGCCGGGTCGGGCCTGGCGCTCGCACGTCGTTCGACGCTTCCTCGCCCCGCTGACGTCACAGAACCGCGTCCCCGCAGCGACGTAATGAAACGTCCCGCCGGGTCGGTAAACATCCTTTCGTTTCTTTAATTGATAATCGGCCGCAGTCGACGGTAGCGTAAAAGCCGTCTCTCTTCTATCTCTGTCTCTGTCTCTCTCTCTCTCTCTCTCTCTCTCATTCTCCGCGATCTGTCCCCACAGGTTGGCCAATCGGCCCATTTCACCCAAGACCCAGATGGAACAGGAGAAGAGGATCCGAAGAGAAATCGCCAACAGCAACGAGCGGAGGAGGATGCAAAGCATCAACGCGGGATTTCAGTCGCTCAGGACCCTGCTGCCGCACCACGAAGGAGAGAAGCTGAGTAAGGTGAGCCTCAAAATTTTCTGGGGATTTCGGGCGAGCGGGCCCCTTTTCGGATTTTCCCGGCCCGTCTAGACGCCCGCCAGACTGGAATAGCACGTGGCGCCTCTGTCTCCCTTCGGCCCTCCCTCCTCCGGCCCGTTAGCGACGCGTCTCTCGGCCGTCTCCATAGCGACCGTTTATCGATTTTGCGAAGGGCGTCGCGTCGCGGCCGCACGCGCGTCGGTACGCGACAATAGTCTTTTCCTCGTCGCGAGCCGGACCGAGAACGGCCCCTTTGGCTCGTTTTCCGGACCTAGGTGGCATTCGGCCAGGTTTCTTATAATAGTGACGAAATTATCTCGGGTTACGGCCGGTAGGCGTCTACGATGCCGCCGGGAGGAGGACGAGCACCTCCCTCTCTCGCGTCCTCAGCCCGGCGAAAATCGATGGCTGCCGAGGTTCTAATCCAGAATTCCGAAAGGATAGTTTCCCGCTTAAAGTTATTAAAGGTCGAGGTCGAAAGATGGCGGCGACGGGAGGCCGCGACTATCGAAAGGAATTTACCTTCCCATCCAGGTAGACGGGAATGAACGGCCTGCAGACGATTTCGTCGAATACAGGGTAATGCCGGAGGCATTCCCCATTGTAACCTCCAAACCACGACTCATTTTCTTTCAAATACCAGAAATAGGTAGCCGGTATCTCCGCGCCGCGTCGCGCAATTTTCCGGGCGCGACGACCTTTCGTCCTTCGAACGCCCACGCCACCCGACCGCCCTTCCGTCAGCTGTTACCGGAACGCGTCATTCTGTCCCTCTGGCCGCTCTGGATTTCGCTGAATTTCTACTTAACTAATACTAGCGGGCGCTATTTATCGGGGCGATCTGTCAGGTTTAACGGATGGCGTGACGTAACTAGGCCGTCTGCCACTCGATCCCGCGCGTGGGCCGGGCAGCTGTTCGACCGGCCGACCGGATGAGTCATCGCCACGTGTGCGATCGGCATTCCGAATGCCCACCGCCGCGTCGGACTAAAAAAGGCCACCTCTCCGTCTCCGGAGAAGGCTGCGGGCGGGCCTGGTCGGAAAGGATGGGCCCCCGACTCTTCCATATGCCGGCCCGAAGAGGTCTTCGCTCTCTAGAACCCGCGGGGAGCCGTTGGGCCGTCGAAACGGGTGATCGATCGATGGGCCGGAAAACCGACACCGTTCGGCCGTCTCCCCACCCGTAATTAAATTTGGAAGCGGGCCGGACCCCGGACTTTTGTTTACGGACAATAGCCAACGTTTCCCCCTCGGGCGCAGTTATCGCCCGGGGTCTGGAACGATCGATGGGCGTCCGGCTCGATTCGAAATGTTTTCGGAGGCCCGCTTCCGTCTCCGCCAATGGAGTCTGCTTAAATAGGCCCGACCGAATGGGAGGCGGGCCTTTCCGGTTACGACCGAGGAAAATAACTAAGTACTGTACAGCTGGAGGAAATGCCGGATGGAAATAAGCTACGTCATTGGCGCAGTGAATACTGTTTGGTTTGCCCTCTTGCCGGTGTCGTCCATCCTAGGCCCCCGAGAAACTGGACGGACCCGGAGGGGATAAATTCTTTGAGTTATTAAACTCTGGTAGATAAAATGCCAACGAGATTTTTCGAGTGTAGTTCCTTCATCCCGGTATATCGGTGTACAGTACTTTCCGCACCGGGCGCGTTTACCCGCGTCGCGCTCCATCGGTCGTCACGCGTCAAAGACGTCCGACGCGCTAATATCCAATTATAGCGTCTGGGTTGGAAGACGGCCTCCTCCTCGGACGCGCCGTTCCCCTTGGAACTCCGCCACAGAAGCGGCGATCTGGCGGCGTCGGCAGTCGGCCAAGCGGAGAAGAGGACGGCTGCCAGAAGACGGAGGGAGGACGCGGGTCCGTTCACCCTTCGCTCGTCCGAGAGAGCGCCGCCCGGAGTAGGCCGCGCGGACGAGGCGTGCGATTTCCTGGCTGGGCCCGCTCGGAGTCTTTTGGATTCGGTCTCCCTTCGGGGCGCGACGCTGCTCCGGTCGCGCGTCACGTTGGCATCGGACCGGGAATTTCTTTGCCGTTTAAAAAGAGACCGAGATCGAATGCCGTCTCGACTGTCTTCGGCAGACTGGAAGTTTTCCAGGTCGCCTTTATCGCGACGGAACGGGCGTCCGGTCGTCTGCCGCGTGGAAGCTTTCGGGCGCTGGGCCCTCCCTTTTTATTTTGGTGGCCTCTTTCAGCGGATGGGCGGTCTGCTGCCCGTTCGACGGCGGCCATTTTTTCCTTTGTCGTCCTTCCGCAGATCGTTTAAATGGCCCCAAACGGTCTCCGCCGCCTCCTCCGGCTACCGATCGATGACGGCGCTCCCGGGTAGGGCGTCTTTCGCAGTGACCGCCGCCTGGAGGAAGCCGGAACCCTTTTTAAATCGGTAGTGTCCCGGGAATTGGGCGGATCCTTCTGCGAGGGGGTGTGTTCGACCCGTTTCCTCCTCCTCCCGAATTCCGGGGACGGGGCGCGGGGTTCTCTTCTTTCGGCATTTGGCGCCGGTTCCGTTTCTCGGGGCCTGGATGGGAGGAGGAAGAATCGCGTTACGCCGCCGGCCGGCCCGGGCGGCGATTGCGTCGCCGTCGTCGGCACGTGCCGTTCCCCGTGGCGCCGTGCGCACCTGTCGCCCTTTCGGCTTTTGGCATTCTCTCCGACTCTTGGTACACGTTTCGCCTTCGACGTGGCCCGTATAAACTCCGAGTGGCTTTTTAGTGGATTTTCCGCCCTCCCCTCTTCTAATGGAGTCGTTCCGTATTAAAATTTATCACTTTCTCTCCGCCATTATTACCTCGGCGGGTCCGGACGCCGTACGATTTGTGACTGCGTGTCGTCGAAGATCCCGTTCACGTTTGTCGTGTTTCTTTAATGTTTATATTTTTTGTTTAGATTCCAATTCTTATTTTCTGTTTTCTTGATTCCTTGAATTAAATCCTTCACTATAAAGGTTCAACACTAAGAATTGGGGAAGTGTGTTCTGGATTTTAAAAAGTTTATAGAAATAAGTCGAATCTTTCTCTTTCATACATAAAGCTATTATAATTTTTATTTCATATCAAATTCTGACAGAAAGTACAAAACTGAAAAGGAAATCAATATAGCGAAAAAATCGCTATTTAAATGTATTTATTAAGCATACCAAGTTCATGGTGGAACTAAATCTTATCTGCACTATTTTGGATTTCTCTTTCTCTGGGGAGAGGTCCTGATGGCTTAGATTGTAGTGAACTATATGATTTATTAATTACTTATATAGTAAACATGGAAAGTATACATGAATTTCAAGTATTAAAAATTAAAAAAGAGCAAATTTTGTCTTACATGCATTCTTTCCATAAACTTGTCTCATATCTATTAACATACCTTTTTGTTTTTAGAAGTGTTTGTAGTCTCTGGTATTGAAACTTGCCCCTTCCATTCAATTTCTTAGGGATGTCAGAGTTGTTTGGCACGGTTTTATGTTGAAATAATTGTTGAATATATTATTGCAATATTATAGAAGGAAATTTTTAAATATCTTTTATTTCCTTTAAATTTACATATTTTTTGTTTTATCTTGCTTCAAGTATGATTATCTAAATATAAAAATATAATGAATTACTGTTTTTTTTTTTCAGTTGTACTTTTTACAATTTGTGGAAGTGTGCAGTTTATCAAAATTTTAAATATTGTTTACTGTTAGTGCATATTGCTTATATTTTGTGGAAAAATAAATAGTAATCAACCAAAACAAATGACCAATTATAATAATAATTAAAACGTATCAATTAATTCTAAAATAATAAATATTGTTAAATAAAAAAAGGAAATGCAATTAAATTATGTTAAAGTATTTTTGTAAATTATATATACTAGTATATATTGAAAATCAATTAATTTATCCATTATCCTGTAATTTTGGGATCAAATCTAATTCCTGTTCTAATAGATATTGATTTAAAAATGAGTTCAATATCAATTTTTATATTCAAAGTAATATAGATTTAATAACAATTTATATAGTATAGTCTTTTAAGAGATTAAAAAAAATAATAATTTTTTTTTTTTTTTGAGAAATGACAAATGCTGTAAAATTTAAATTTATAGATGATTTTTACATGTTTTTATGGATAGTGTAGATACTTTTTTAGTTTTTGAATTGGTAATGCATATTTGGTGAGGTTGATGATAAGGGTCAGGAAGTTTTTATAACCAGTTAGTGCTGTGATCTTAAGATTTAAAATTCTTAACATAGCTTAAGAAACTTGTGGCTTGACCCTGATGTCATTACACTTTTACACTCTATCTATATTGCATTGCTTTTTGCAATCTTAAAAAGGTGGAAATTTTTTATTTTTTTATATCGCTTTCTCTAAGTTGATTACAATGATTGATTTCAATAAAATAAATAAATTGGTTAATTTTATTTGAAAATGAATCGTTTGATGATGATGATGTGAAATGTTATTTTCAGGCTGCTATTCTTCAGCATACAGCAGATTACATCTACCAGTTAGAACAGGAGAAAACTAGATTATTAGCTCAGAATTGCCAGTTGAAAAGAATTCTGAATACTCAGATGAACCTCGACAGTGATGGGAGCAGCTCGGATTCTCCTCTCCCAAAGAGACGGAAGGCCGAAACAGGTGAACAAGATTTTAAACTGTTCTATAAAGTATTATTGAAGTATGTCGGTTAACTAACATGACAATGAATCTGTATGTTGTTACTAAAATGAAGCAAACCAAATACTTGACTTTTATGGATACAATTTTAATTTCATTATTGTATAGAATTTGATGTCTATTGAAATACGATTTGTATGATAATATTCTGTTAAGAGTTCAATGGCTTAATTTAATATTAGCTCTTGCTTAAATAAAATTAAGCATTACAAATGTTATAACTAAAATCTAATTTAGGTATTGACTATTTTTCTTGCAAAATATTTGTAATTTTATAATTACCCAGTTGATTTTTGATTAAGTGGTCTCAGAACAAAATTGAAAATGTGGAATTAATTCTTAATTTTTATTTTAAGTTACATTTTGATTGTTTTTGTATTATTGGTGAATTTCGTTGTTAAAATGTTTGGAGATAACTTTTTATTTGGTGTGCATATTTCCTAGAAATTCAAAATTCTGCTTTGCAATTTAATATTTAATTTTTAAATATATCATGCAACAAATTTTGTAATACTCAATAACATATTTGTAATTCCTTCAAATGTAAATATCATCAAAGCAGGAATTTCAACTATTTGCTAATTCAATTAAATTCTCTATGTGTGATTTTTGTACAGTTTCATAAAAATATTTACATTAATAGATTATTTTAAAATTTTATTACTATTATTTTTTTTTTTTAATATTAAAAGTTGCACAGTTTTGTTTTACTTTCCATTATATTTTTTAATTAATATTTACTAAATTGTTTGAGATTTGCTCCAACTATTGTAACTACTCCAAGAACCTTCACTCTTTCAGCTAATATTAAATTTATAAACAAATAACTATAAGACTTTGAACTAGGAAACAAACTGGATTATTTTTCATCAGTCTAACATTTCTTTCAAAAATTGTTTGGATAATTGCAATTTTATATCTACTATTTATAAAAATGGAAGTTTTTAAAACCACTTGTATAACATCATTATGAAATATGCTGCATTTAGAAATAAATAAGAAAAAGTTAATTTTACTATGAATATTAAGTGATTAAATATAATTATATTTTATGTAAATGATGGTTTGTATTTGCTTGAGTTTTAGTATATTGTACGACAAAATTTTTTTTTTTTTTTGAGAAGTGATAAAAAATCTGTTCAAATGCATTGAATGGTGATTCTTGGAATAGTATTATTGTATTAATATTCTGTTTGTTTATTTCATTCGAAAATAAATTTTCTGTTTAAATTTTATATACAGATATATATGATAATTAAGTCATATGTATTGCTCCAACTGCATTGACATTTAAATTCTGATTTATTAAATTTGCACAATTGATAATATTTATGTGTTTGTGTAGGATTTAATATTATGTTTTAGTGTAATTAGTTTTTATTTTATAATTGTCTAATTATATTTTAGTTTAAATTGTTCCCTTTTTTCAAGGATTTTAAACATAACAATATGTTTCACTCCATAAATATTATTAAATTAAAGTAGAATTTCTTTCTTTCTTTGAGTTTAAGAAACATGTTTGCATACCAGTGTTTTCAAGTAAGCAATACTGATCTCCAGAAACATTTAAGTTTGCCCTTTTTTTAAAAAAAGATTATGTGTATGGTATCTATAATGCATTGTATATATGAAATAATATGGGCATAGTCTTCATGAGAACTATGTGTTTTTACTGTTACAGATATGATAATACATTAAACAATTTTTTCTAGCTGAAATAATTTCTAACAAATTTGAAAGTTGTGAAATTTGGAATCAAAATTTTCATCGTGTTATAAATGATTTCATATTGTTTTGACCTGTGTTATGTTTGGTCTACAGTATATAATGTTACATTATAAGATGGAAAATGTTTTAAATAATCTTTTTAAATGTTAATTATTTGTATCTAAACATTCTTGGAATATGATAATGATCATAAAGAAAATATGGTTTAGTCCAGTCAATAGCAACCTGCAACCCTGATAGTCAACATAAGTTTATTTTCCTGTTTTTTTGTCTCATTAAGCTGATACTAATAACAATTAATGATTCAAACTAAACTTGACCAGTAAAAAGATGATAAACTATATATTACTAGTTAGCATTCATTATTTTAGTAGCTAGTTTATTGGAGTTATTAAATATGTTGGCACTCAGGCTTAAAAGCATGCAACTCCATAGGAAAAAATGTATGCAGCCTGCTGGAAGTCTGCAAAGTTTGCTTGCGGCACATATTTGGGAAAGATTGCTCATCACTGGTTTTGTTTATAAGAAACTAATATAATAACTATGTAAACAATCTGTTTTAGCTAACTTTTTGCATTGTCTTTTATATGCTAAAAGTTAATAGAATTTCAGTAATTAGGTATTTCATTTACAAATTATAGAGCTTAAGAAAATTGCAGATAAAAAATGCTTCAGGCAAGAGTTTGTTTCTATATCATGTATTGAATGTATACAGTATAACCATGAAATTCAAAAATAACTGGAGATAAATAGTTCATAAAAAACTTACACCTTTATAAATCCAGCAACAAATTTAATAAAAATTAAGAACGTTTTCGACCATTCACTGAGCTTCCTTGTGCTCTGTAACTGAGGAAGATCAGTGAATTGTCGAAAATGTTCTTAATTTTTATTAAATTTTTTGCTGGATTTATAAAGGTGTAAGTTTTTTTTTATGTATACAATATATGAATAAAATGTATAAAGGTTAATTTTTTGTATCATAAAATTACTCTATATCTAAAATCATTAAGAAGATGATGGATTGAATATTAACATCAAAAGTCATGTTAAATTATAGATTTTTATGTAGATAAACTAATAATTTAGAATATATTTAATTAAAATTAAATTAAATTGTTCATTGTTAATGTATTTGTTTTTAGAAGCATCAGAAAGTCTGCCCACTCCAACTACCAGTCCATCAAGTGCAGAACCAAGCATAGATGATTTAGGTAGAGAAATGATTGAATTAAGAGTGCAATTAGATCGAGAAAGACGTTTAAGAATGATGATGGAGGAACAAACTCGAAATCTAGAAGCTCAGCTTTATCCTGAACGTATTCGTGAAATAACACATCAGGTTCAGTTGCAATATCAACATCGATCAAGTGATGTAAGTTATCAGCAGATACCAGAATTTATTGATGATATCAAATTTAAATTATTTCAATTTTTCAAGTTTTAGATAATTTTATTTAAAGATGTTAACAAATGTAAATGATTGCAGTACATAAAAAATAATAATGATGTATTTGTTGGAAAAAATATATCATAAATTATAAAACTTTGATTTTAAATTAAAATATTAATATGAAAAAAAAATTATATCAAAAAACTTTTAATATGGTTTTAATAGTGTCTACATTACATTTAATTTGATTATTGTTTTAATGTTTATGTAAATATTTCTGTAATATATTTTATTTTTAGCTACTGCAGTAAATAGTTTATATTTTTATACATATTATCTATAATTTAAATTTTTGCAATTCTTAGGGTGAATCTCCGTCACAAGTCACCATTGAGCAAATACCAACCAGTCCACAATCTCAGCTTCCACTTAGTGACACAGAACCAAAACGAGAGATAGCAACACCACCAACCCCACAGAACAGTTCCGAAGAAACTTTGGCTTCCGAGGCACCTCAAGATTTATCAGGAAGAAGTCATACTAGTTCCTCAGAAATGATTGAAGTGATAACATCGACAAGTACAACATCTGTGGAATCTCCTCCACCTGCAAACAACATAGAACAGACAACTTCTCATATCTATCCTGCCAGCACTTCTCGTCAGAATCTGGAGACCATAGTCGAAGCCATACGTCATCTAGAAGGAGATCATCTCTTTCAGGATGACTCTGAACCATTAAAACTTCAAACCGTATCATTATTGAATATACCTTTAGACAGTTGTGAAAGTAACGGTCATACAGACCACGTAATTCATTTGCATGCCAGCAGTACAGCCAGTGAGCAACACCAAAGGTCTATCAGTGCAGGGAATTCAGAGTATGCAATCAGACAACAGGTCATCCAATTCCCTCTTCTAAACCAATCACGGCCTGGTGTGATTGTCGCTACACATTCTTAATCATAATCCCACTTCCCATTTCTGCACATTTTCATCTTCGTTTCAGTGGGTTTTCATTCCACCAGGTTCCTGAGGTTATTTCTCTCTTCCTGGAAATCATTTGACATTTTAACCCACTGGTGTAATATAACCATTACTGTCATTTCTGTTTTGATAAAATGTTTCAGTTCCTGGGTGCTTTACACATGGTCTTCTAATCCTACTGATGCAGTCCCTGTCCGATTCCTCAGATTCAGAGAGGAAGAAAGAAAGAAAAAGATCATTTTTAATAATATGATTTTTGAACAAGTTTCATCTGTATTTTGTACAAAAAATTTTAGAAAATGATTAAAAAGAAAAATGTGATTTGGAATTTCCCCAGTCTCTCACTGGCTACAGGCAGAAGCAAATTGGCTTGTCACTGTTGCCTGATACTAGTTCACATTTTATATATATATTGCCTGTCAAGTTTAATAACAAGTTAAAAACAAAAGGTATATATATATATTGAATTTTTTCATTGTGTTAAGAGTGTCATTTTTAAACTAAATTTTATGTAAGACAAACAGGGAAGCATCCTCCCCATTTTTTGCACTGTAAATATCATGTTCGTATAAGGTTAGGTTGAGACATTATTTAGAAGAACAGAAGAGGATTGTACCACAAATGCACTCATAATGTAGGCTGTGTTCAAGTTGAAAAATAGTCTAGAGGAGTTTAAAGATGTCTGTTATTTATTTTCTTTTTGAAATAGTTAAAACATAACAGTTGTGAATTAGTAAATAATCTTGTCAATTGTTACAAAGAGTGTCTGTAGCCAAAGATGGGCAACAGATTTGCATTAATTATATTCATTATATCATGTGTTTGTACAAACTGATATGTAAAAATTAACTGGAAGAATGTATCCAAGAACAGCAGTTAAGCTGTTTTTTTTTCATATGTTGTAAAGTGAAAGCACAATAGTACTTTGTTTTTCCATTAAAAAAAATGCCATTGATTTGTATAGCATTGCATTAATACATAATTGTAAAGATGTTTTGTGATTAATTTTAAAAAGATTTTTTAAATTGGAATGATTTTAAAGAATGGACTGATTTCACCAGTTTTATATGTTGTATTTTGATTGCCAATGTTCACTTATGATTCTTTAAAAAAAATTTGTTTTTGTGACCAAGTAAGGGACCAAAAGTTAATAGTGAGATCCCTAGTTCTTTTGATGTTTAGTATAGTACAAGATAGAAACAAATCAAATTTACATTTTGTTTGTAGATGGCACATTTGGATATTAAATGTGTGATAAAATGGAAAAAAAACTTGAAATTAATTTCAAAGATTCTGTTTTGGAAAGCGGTTAAAGGGAATCAAAATAAGTGTAATGAGAATTTTTGATTATTGTGTGAAAGAGCAGTCTGTCTGTTGTGAATTGTCAAATGATGAAATTATTTTAAAGTATATCCCCAGGGCATTTTTTGCTTTTAAACGTAAATAGGGTGAAATGGGTCCATTCATTTAAGTACATACATGCCAGCATCAGTGCATTGTGGCTGACATTGATAACTTTGACAGTCATTTGTAAACATTGTTAATTCATTGTAAGTTCCTCTCAACTAGGATGGTGTGCCAAAGAAGTTTTATGTTAAAAATTGCAGCTTATACAGAATGGAAGATATATATATATATAAAGAAAAAATTATATATTGGAGCTGGCATCTATTCAGTTCACTCTGAAGTTGGCATGTAAATGCGCAGATGAAAAAATCCTAGCTGTGTGTACTTTTTGTGTGTGCACGTTTACGTAGATAGAAGGCGTTGTTTTGTTTTTAATGTCTTTTTATGAAAATGTGTGTTTTTTCTACATCTCTCTCAATGGTAATGTGTGTCAACGTGTACAGAGACTAGTATTCAAAATCAGGTACAGTAAAATAATTAACAATAGTAAAATGTTTGGTTGTCAAATTCATTCAGAAATAAGTATTGTTATCAGTCTGTATAAACTAGTATTATTTACAAAGTTTTTTAACTGTTTTGCATTGCCCGTTTTTTCACTTATCAAAAACTGGTCTGGTAATTAACCATTGTATTTATGGGGGGTTAAATTTGCAGGTGCTTCATTCAAAATGATATTTGGGCTGCAAATTTTGCAGGGTTGATATCACCAGTTATACAAAATGGGATTTATATAAATATGCATCCTTTAATACTGTGAAGTTAATTAGAATAGTTCAACAATGGAAATACTGGTACTACATATAATAAAATAAAAAAAAGCTTGTACAGTTAGTGGTAATTGTTTATCTGGCAGTGTTTATCTCTTTTTCTTTTGTTTTTCCTTGATTCCCGCTGTCTGTGTATTCAAACTTTTCCTATATTGATAAATTTTCTCCGGTTTAGAACTGATGTAACAGATCAAATGTTATCTGTGTAAAATCATTGTCTGTTGTCTTTCACTGCCTTGAAATAAAAAGTGGTGCAACCTATACTGGCTTTTCATTTATTATTTGTTAAAAATAATTTATTTCAACATGCCCAGAAGATTAAACAGATTCTGTATAATGCTTTACTTTAATAATACATATATTTTTATTATAATGTTAGAATCAATTTATTTGCAATTTTTCTTTGTACTATTAAAGACATGTTGGCTAACTACTAGGATAGTTTTCTCAAATTATGCAGCACCAGATTTATATACATTGGAACCGTTCAGTAATGCAGATACAAAAATTTACATTTGAATCAGTCCAATTTTAAAACCAGTTTGTATTTAATTCCAAAGATAGTAGCTACCAATTTTATTTCAGCTGATCTTAGTAAGATTTGTTAAGTTTATTTTGGAAATTCAATAAATGATGCAACAAAAGTGGATTTTTACATAGAAATATTACTGTTTCTAGAAATAAAGTATAAGGAAGTTATGGAAACAAACTTGAAAATAGCAACTAACCAACAATATAATTTCTTATATGTTGCATATTTTACGGAAAGTTTGAAAATCTCAAGGACGAATAAATTTTATCTCGAAAGTTTAGATTGATTTAATATACTTAAATTTATCAAATGTAAGTATATTGATATTTAAATTTAGATATGAAACTATCAATGTTGCTGAAAAATATGAAAACGGAATTAGTTAATAATAAATTGAGGAATTGTATGGAAAAAGATACCAAAGTTAAATTTTGATGTTTTCAGAAATTCTCAAATTTTTCCATGAGGTTATGAAATAAGCAAGCAGTACATGTTAAATATGCTTGAGTAAAGTGCTTATTATAGCAAGGGAAATATCCTTAAAACCCCATTGGATAAGCATAATAGCTGAAAAAAGGTTTCTAAGTACATTGCATTGTACTGTACTTGCGTTATTTCATAGACTCCAGTTGTTAATTCAATATTTTTTAATTCTTCAATATATATAGACGAGTGTAAATTAACAATAGAAAAATTCATATAATAAATTCTAAACAGTTTGAATTAAATTCATTATCTTCAGAAAACTTGCTATAAAATAATTGTGCTGCCATCTGTTAATAAAATATATTAATTATTTTTAGAATACGAATTACGTAATTAAAAAATTAAATTTAAAAAATGTTTTAGTTTTATTTAAAACTTCTACGTACAATTAACGGAGATTTTAATGAATTTTACATATATTATACTCAACACAGATAACATTAATTAGAATAATGATCATGAAGAGCTGAGTGGAGAAATATCTGTTTGATGTCACAGATATAAGTTAGAGTAACAGAAATTGAGTTTGGAGAAGAACAAAACAGACGAATGTGGCATTAAATAGGAACATGTGGCTATACTTAAAATTGTTAAATTTCGTTCTGTGTGGATTTAAACTTGCAAATGTGACCATTAAGAGGATAAACAGAGACAAATGGTAAATATTCCAGGTGATGCTGAGATTAAACTGCAAATGTATGCGATCTGTTTGAACGTTTCTGGTTTATTTCCGTTTGCTTTAATTAATTTACTCTTCTCTGTTGATTTAAACTGTTTTTTATTAAGTTTTAAAGCATTTAAATGGTTCTATTAATCATCCTTTGTTTAAAACACCTACTAAAAGTTTCGATGCTTCACTGCAAACACTACAAATATGTTTTACATTTTATATTTTTAAATCTAAATTATTAAAAAAAGGTTATTTTTCAGTTTATAATTTTCTTCAGATTAAAGATGAATTTTATAAGTTTAAATAGATTCAATTATGAAACTCTAAATTTCTCCAAAATGATGGTTTTTCTTCAGTAAAATATAAGAAAAAAAAATTAATTTTAATTGTTTACGAAGAAATTACAAGCTATAATTATGATATTTGTAATGTCTTACGCTATTTTTTACATGATAAAATTTCCCGCTTATTATTTACAGGAAAATAATTTATCTACACTAAAAATAATTAATTGTTTTGTAGTGAATAAAGATTTTATATAGATTTATATAAAGATATATACGAAATAAACTTGAATATTTTAAATGTAAAATTTTTCATGTTAAATGGAAAAAAACATAAGAAGTCTTATAGTAGGAAATATATATCTTCTTACTGTGTTATGAGAAATGTATGTCTTTATCGACGTTTAAAGTTACATGTTAAGAGAATTACTTTATAAAAAAAATTACATAACTGGCAAGTCAGTTTGAAAATTTTCTAAAATATTCATGAATATCTTTAATTATTATTATTTTTTTAGTATACAATTTTCACAATAGATCTTTATCTAAATAACAATAGAAAAGATTACAAAACATTTTTATTAAAGTAAAAGAAGGAAAAAAAATGTAAATTACAAACGTCAACCAAAATTACATAACTATATCATGTGATATCAACCGACTAATCATTATTCTTTTCATTTCGAGGAATCCATTTTTGAAACAATAATGTCTTCTTTAGTGTATAACACGAGCAATTTTTTTTACATTTTATGGGCTATTTTCCCTTTAATTTTCGTTCCATGCATGAGCGAGGTGAGTTTTTTTTTTAATCTTTCGGCTATTTTTAACATGTAAGGATACAATTTTTATAAATTTATCAATTTTTTTAATGTTTGAAGATACCAAATTCCTTGTTGTTAGAGATGCAAGACGTGAAGTCCAGTAAAGAATTTTTTGATAAATTTGTGGATGGAGGTTATAGAAACTATACAGGTGAGTTATATATGAATACAAAAATACATTTTTTATGTAACATAATTTTATCGCAGATGTATGACACATTTAGTTGTAGCAAGGAATGCATGGCGTGTTATATAATAACCATTACATGATCGATACACGTTGGACACGTTAGGGTGCCTGTTGACAGATGGGTAGATATATTCGAACAGATGTGGGATGGCTCCAATTAATCATAGATAATATCCATCCGATAGAGTAGGTGTTGCTCTAATATGCAGTGACGAAGAGAGATGCGTTATTTTTCATAAAAAATGATAAACGTTCGACGGTTACTCGATGGAAAAGGTTAAGTCGAGTAGGCAAGAAATGCCATTCATGTCTTCTCGAAACTTTTCCTAGGGAAAGAATGTTAAGCTAGAATGAGTAGTGTAGCTCACAGCAAGGTGGAAATCCAGTTCTTTGTGCCACAGAGTCGCGTATGTTGGCCTACTACAGTGAAACTGGCCGCATCCATTCATAAGAGCGTGGGAACTTGTCGTGTCGAGAAGACCGTAAGTACAGTACGTTGACGCCCGGGATGCCTTCTTTTCATACCCTCACAAGTCAGAGTAGAGAAGAAAAAATGCCGTTGAACTAAGATAAAAAATATTTCCGAGTTTATCCATTGAGAGTAATTCCGATTTTCTTTTTGCAATGCATATTTTTCGGTTAATTTGAATAAAAATAGAATATGTAATAACAAGGTATCATTTATGTGGTTATTTTTGCTTTAATTTAAGTTATTTGCACGAAATTTTACGCTGTAGGTTGTTACTACAATAATTTGTTTTTGTCTGACATAGTGTCAAGGATGCCTGTTATGATGTTATGTGGGCACTTCTATTCTTTCCAGATTATCTAAAAATATGAATATCACAGAATAATTCTTAACAAGTCAAATAACCAAAAAAGGAATGCGGTTCTTCGCCAGTTTTTATGGGTATGCTTTAATTTTTATAGAAAAATCATCTAAAAATAGCCTGATACGTCAATGAAGCAGAAAATTTTCAGGAAATGTAACTTTTCATATTGTATTCTATAATGTAGTATTCAATACACGTCACGTAAAAATAATTACTTTTAGTTAATGCCCTGAATCATCAAACTATCTTCATTTTTAAGAAATATGATTAATCGTTATATTGTTCATTTTAAATTTAAATTTAAATGAATTAAAAGAATAAAAATTATTATGATAATTTTCAAATTGTCATTTTATAGTAAAACATAATTATTATCAAACGTCGAACGATTATTTTTAAAATAAATCATTTTTACGCATAGATGAATTATAGGAGTTCAAAAAAAAAAGCTTCTTGGTCCTATAGGAATCATACAGTTATGTATTCCCAAGTGCTATGTAGTCTTATAGTATACAGAACGTTAGTCTCATAGTCCTATGAGATTATGTAAAGATTACGAGACTATAGTGGCTATGAAACTATAGAGATTATAAAACTACAAGACTGATGAGACTATATAGCTTCATTAGTGTTGTATTTTCTTGAGAACTGCTAGAGCTTCGAAAGACTCCTTCAAAGGTTATCCTGCACCCACTAAATAATCGTATAAAGTATAATAAGGGGATCTGATATATCTCGCTCATTTAACACTTCCAAGTATTTTTCGATTTGCCTTCAAAAATTCCTATCTATCTACGAGGGAAAAAAACAGATCCGGTATATCTTTGAAGAACTAAAAATTCTTGAATCATAGACCGGATTCAAGCACAATCCTCTCAGAACAAAGAGTTTTTTTTTTTTTATTTATCAGATGCCTGCTTGCATTGTTACCACGACTATCTTAAAAATAAAATTAAGTAAAAAATTGCTAATTCAAGCAGATAATTCTTTTGTCGTTATTGATATGAAAAAATATCCGTAACTAAATATAATCATGTCCAATTGTGACAACAATTAAGGCGAAACAGAAGCATAATAGTATCTTTTCTGTAAATCCTAATTAACAATGAACATTTGCACGAATTCTGACCGATGCATAAAAATTCAAAAACTTAAATTAATTATTAAATATTCTAAATATTATATTTTTAAACAATAAAATAATTTGTTTACTTTTTCTAATTAAAATAACACACGTATTAACATTTATCTTTATTGTATTTAAAAATAAATAAGGAATACGAGAGAATATTTCTATTCCAATTATGAATGGGCGTGACGTAATATTTTTAAACTTCCTTTACCGGCTTATGACGAGACGTCACTACTAAACGACCCACCCATACTTCGTGACATCATCGCGAACAACCCCCGACCTCTTCGACATTCTTGTTCGGACCACGAGAGGGCGTTTCCATCGTGGATCGTGCCATACATTAAACATCTGTTTTCGCTATTCTTCTGCTAAATTTTGATACGTACAGAAAATGTACATTTCTTAATTACTAAGCATCTCGACTTTACCTACCCATTACGTAATTATCTTGTTAGCAGTTAATTTACATTTAAATTTTGGAAATTCGTTAATTAAGAAATATCAGACATATCACCAGGCGTTAATCTGTATCCAGAGTTATCGATATCCATTAGGTATGGTCGATATGGATGAATTGAATCGGGTTCGGGGCACGATGATGTATTACGTTTACTTAACGGGGAAGCGACGATGCTTATCCATTTAATAATCTGACTCAATGGAGAATTTCGTTGTAGAAATATTTTGCAACAAAAGAGGTTCTTCAGCAGATTGGGAAGCGTACAGCAGGACATGTACAGTACAAGATGGCACACAGAAGATTTTTCGATCAAAATCAATTTCTTCCAGATCAGATAAGAATGAATCATGGCTTTTTCTCGTTAATATGTCGATCCATCAGATAAAAGTGCTCAGTTCTTTTTTGTATCCATATCGTGTTGCAGTCAATAGGAAATGCGTTTAAAGATCTTAATTCAATAGTAAAAATATGATTAAAACCATATTGAAAGAAGAAACGAGATCGTGACAAATCGCCCATTGATAGTTGTATACATTATTCATATCGTTGGTGGAGTTTCAAAAATTGAGGACTCCGATAATCATACAGCGGTAGTATGACCTGGATGGTGAAGGGCTTTAAGCTAATTCGACCGCCATTCTAAGGACTGACAAATGCTGCGTATTTCATAAATATTGATATAGTCAAAAATTTGCAAGTGAACTGTGATCCATGCACGAGTACATTAGAGGGTGTTTGTTGTAGGTTTTGTATGATTAGCATTAAATCTTTTTGATAGAAATTCCAAAATATTTCATTCTTCTGGAAGCATATTAGCAAAGCCGTAACTAGGATTTTGGACGCCTATGGCCAAGAATAAAAATGGCGCCTTTTTAATTTTTATTATTAAAAAATAATAATTTTATTCTAAAAAATTCTATTGTAAAAAATTATCTAATGACATTTAAATNAGTGCAATATAATATTATCTATCTTTATATATATATATATATATATATATTAAAGGCAAAATGTTTCTTCACTGCCAATTGAAAGCAAAACTAACACTTTACAAAAATGTGCTATAAAGACTCAAATCTGCCTGGATGAAATATAACCAAATCAATCAAGACAGACAACAAGTACTTTATCCACACTTTCAGAAATATTATGTTTCAACTGATTTAATTTTAATTAAATGGTGCATTTTTTAATTTTTTTAATTAAAATGGTGCATTAAAAATAATAATTTTATTCTAAAAAATGCAGTGGTAAAAAATTATCTAATGACATTTAAATACTATATAAATATAAAAATTTTTTTGTGTTATTAATTTCGAATACATATTATTCTGAAACCTTCTCGTTGGCACCTATCGCGGGGCCACATTGGCCATACCCTAGTTACGGCTCTGCATATTAGCAATGTATGTCAACAATTTTCTAATTTTTGCAGAATGACACTCGCTTTATGCGTGGAGATAATTAGAAATCGTTGAATTCTTTTTGTCAATTTTATTGCATACGCAATAAAATTGACAAAGAATTAGCAAAGAAGCACGATAAATAAAATCGACGATGCTTTGAACAACATTTAAAAAATGTCTTTTTAAATTTAAAATTTAATTCTCTAATTTGTATATAGAAAAAGAGAATTAAATTTTAAGCTTTGAACAACATTTAAAAAATGTCTTTTTAAATTTAAAATTTAATTCTCTTTTTCTATATACAAATTAGAGTACTGTACGCTTCCAAAGATACTGAGAGGGAATTGAACCCGAGATCTCCAAATACTAGTTTATTAATATTTTTATAATATGTATATTGCCATTCGAACTGGAAATGCCTCATACGTAAAGAAAACTTCAAGAATATGCTATTGTGTAAACATACAAGGATGGCATATTTAAACAAAAGTACAAAAATGTATATTGTTTCACACATCTTTCATTTAAAGTTTACCTTTTTCCGACTCCATATAAGATTTATATGAGCTGAAGAAGAGCTAACTAAAATATTTTCCATAGCAAATCGAGATTTTGGTGCCTTTCTGAAAATATTGAGAGTTTTGCATACATTCAGTGTTAAAATTAACATTTTTACTGTTTCTTTGCGAACACACACAAAAAAAATTGAGAATTGCTTGCTTATTTATTTAGATTTTTTAATTCCATTTTATCTATTCGTAATAATTTTGTATGGAATTATAAATGGAATTGCTTTGTATTGCTTCTATATTTTATTTGGAAATTTGTATGGAAAATTATAAAATCAAAATCTTATAAAGTTTAGCTTAAAGCAAAGCAAAGTTTTAGACAGAAGATATAGGAATAAAATCAATGAAAGAGACACAAACAGAAGAAAAAACGAGCAATTATTTTATTGTGACATTGTCACAATGCCGGGCTGCAATTTTTAATCATATTTTTAATTTATATTATTTAATTTATTTAATTGTTAAAATATATGCTTTCCATCTTCAAATTTGTAGTGTCTTGCCCCTTTATATCATACTTTTCCTTTAGGAATTGGCTCGTTCCGGTCGTCTATCTAACACCTTTGGGGGGATTTTTTTGAATTGAAATAACGCGACTTCCGATTTTGATCGGAAGTTCGAATTTAGTTAATCGGGGGGTCTACTTACCTACTGTTTTTAAGGTTTCTATATCTCTTCTCGGATTTCATCTATCTAACTCCATTCTCGAGATTACAGAAGGGTAGACAACANAATTTTTTGAATTGAAATAACGCGACTTCCGATTTTGATCGGAAGTTCGAATTTAGTTAATCGGGGGGTCTACTTACCTACTGTTTTTAAGGTTTCTATATCTCTTCTCGGATTTCATCTATCTAACTCCATTCTCGAGATTACAGAAGGGTAGACAACAGACGGACGACAGTGGGAATTTATGGGTATATCTTTTTTCAAATTGCAGTCCTAAAAAGTTTTACATATTTTTATTACATTCGTAAAAGGGTGAAAACCCGTGCTTGTGAATGGTTCGGCCCAATAAATAAAGTGAGTAAACATATTGATAGTAATATTTATATTCTGCTGAAACGATGACAGTATTAGAAAATAATTTCGTTAAAACAACTCATCAATATCATAAGAGACATTGATGAGTTTGCAAATAATTTAAAAAATTTAATTTATACAAGCGATTTAACAATATTATGATCGATGAACCACAATTATACTGTATGATTGAACATTAGCTCAACATTAAAAGAGAGATAGAACTAACTATATTGAAGCTAATAAACTTTGGGAATAATTTCAAGTATGTAGATTAAAGTTTATATTAAAATCATATGGTTTAAAGTCGTGAGGTTTCTGCACTTGTAAACTATAAAACTTCCGCCTTTTTCGAATCGAGGTCTGAACAACATAATTCAACTAAAATAAATTGATGATAAAAGAACTTTTATTATTGGCCGGATATTATTAGAATATTTCTGCATAAAAATTATTTTCAATAAAATTTCAAAAAATGTTTTTAGTTTTTCTCTTTCAATCCAAAATTATGTTATATTTTAAACACGTTCGCCATCTTTTTTTATTCATTAACGAAAACACTAGAAGCTTATCAAATACTAAAATTATTTTGTTTAATTCTAAGAATAAAATTAATCAGAATTCTTGTAGGTAATAAAGCAATTTTTACTCATTTTCATCCGTTAATTTACTTACCTACTGAAATAATAACACTGAAATTAATTAATGTTTATTCTTAATTATAGTATAATACTAATCCAGAATATATATATATAAAATTATTACAAATATTGCAACATAAAATTTCCCCAATTTTTCAGGTGAAAATCTTTTAGAATTTGACGAAAGTATCAGCAATTGTCAACCAGTAGAAACTGTAATTGCTATGCCACCTTCATCGGATCCAACATTATTCACCATCCCAAAATGTGTCATTGTTGATCGTTGTAAAGGATGTTGCGGTGTTGCAGTTCTAGAATGCGCACCCTTAAAAACAATAGAAAAGAATTATAGAGTAAGAATGAACTCTCTTTTTGGAACTTATTCTTCTTGCAACTTAATTACAAATTTCTATTTTTAAAAGGTATCTCGATTCAACTACAACATAGAAAAAGGCTTGATGGAACTTATAGAAGACGAGATACTTACAATCGAAGAGCATACGGAGTGCGGTTGTAAATGTAAAATAAATCCAAGCGATTGTACGAATGAACAAACTCACGATCCACGAATGTGCAAGTGTATCTGTAAGAATAGCAATCAGATAGCGGATTGTTTGGCTTCTGATAAGCTATGGGATGTAGAAACATGCCAATGTAAATGTAAGGAAGTGGAAGAATGTTCAACTGGTTATACATTTAATTCGGAAATTTGCAAGCAAGTCTTTCTATTATTAATTCTAATAAGTAAAAATAAATTTTTCCGTCTAGTAACATTTTTGTTTTTCTATTTTTAGATGCGAGTGACGAAAATAAGGCAAAGAAATCATTAAAATGTTAATTAAATGTAAACTTTATTGATTTAATCACTAAAACATATATTAAATTTACTAAATACATTTTATTATGGTTTATTGATGTCAATTTAATATGTAAAATAAAATTTTGATATTTTCAATTTTGTTATGTATTCGTGACGGCAGATGGCGATACGTACATAACCGAGTTTAAAATTCTTGAAATGTTTCAATAATTAAAATCTTATTAATTATATTTGTAATATTTAAATTTTTAAAGTTTTTCTTCGTTAAATGTAATACGCATTTATGTTTTAATTAAATTGGAATGAAAACGATTATTATTATTTGCTATTTTTATTTAAATTTTCTAATTAATTTTGAAAAGTTAATTAATTTTTTTTTAACTTTTAATTTTATGGGGATTGTTTTCTTATGCCATTTAATCTCGGAGCTTAAATATTTGTTGATCTTTAAAACTTTAAACTTCAAGGACAAGTTTAAATAATGAAAAGTGAAACCACTGAAAATAATTATTAAAAACATTGTTTATCTTTTGTAGTATAAAATATTTTACTTATTAAAATTATGTTTTTATTTATTTTTAACCCAGAAAAGTTAAAAGTCGTTTAATATTCAAATAAAATTTAAATAATTTTTCTTTAATGTGATTGGATAACTTTATTACGTAACTTTATTCAATTTTTTTTAAACGTTAAACTATAAGCAATATTATCTAAACAGAAACGATTATAACACGATCAAAGATATTAATTTATTATTTTAAAATACACAATTTATTTTATTTGCTAGAAAAATGATTAAGGGCATTCATAACCAGATGACGTCTGCTTATGACGTCAATTTAAAATAAATTATGTTGCAAAAATATAATCATCGCCAAAATCAATTCGTACAAATTAAATTATCTGAGTTCAATGCTTTAAAGTTTGGAAATATTTATAAGATATTTTTTTTCATAAAGTAAATTATTTACGTTTAAATTCAGTTATCGAAATACGTCATAGAAGTCTCGTCCAATGAACTTCTGGGTACTTTAACAACATTTATGTTGGTAATAAATTTAAGAAAATAACCAAAATGTTATCGTTTGAGCCACTTAAGATGAAAATTTGTAAAGTTTGGATGTTTTCAATAATTTTTATTATTTCTTTAGTTATATCCGAGAATCGCATTGTCTTTCCTGATGACGAGACTATTTCACGTAATCAAGACGAAAGTAACGCAACCTATTTTAAGGTAACTCGAAAAATTAGATTTTTCTACTCGGAAAACTTTATTTACTTTTATTATTATTATTTTTTTATAAAAGCCAATGCTTTAATACAACTTTATTAAAATTTACGATCGCCATTTTTATTTGATTATATAATAAACTTTAATCCAATTTGATTAAAAAAAAGTACTTAACCGTAGAAATAGTCGTAAATTTAACCAATCAACTACTAGCTTTTTATTTTTTTTTCTTAATTTAAATTAAACAATGCGACAATTTTTATTGGTTCAATTCAATTGGATCCGTGTTTTTTTAAATTTAAATTTAAAAATAACGGAAAAAATAAAGTTTTTTTTTAAAAGTTTTATTTTAAAAAATATTAAAAAATTTAATTTTCTAAATGCCGAATTTTGGATAATTTAAGTTTATAATTTTTGTTTGTTTAAACTGAAAAAAGTTATTCCTCTTTTAAAATATTGATCCGCTATTATAATTGTGTAATTGGATTGATACGGTCCATTGTTCTTTTCTAAAATTTTAAATTTATGTATAAACAAAATTGTAGTAAAATTCTTTACTGAAAAAGAAGAAAAAGAGAAAGAATTTTTGTATATATTAAAGAAAAAGAATAATAATAATAAATTCTAAATCAATATTCCATCAAGATGAGCCTGAACTTTGATGTTTATAGCAGAAAAGTGTGTGATGCACTAGATTCTATTAAGTTTAATTATAAATAATATATTTATCTTTATAAATACTTATTTAAGTAATACTTTTATGGATATTAAATAAAATAAATTCTAGAAAAATATTTTAAAAACTTTAAAGAAACGATTAAATTTATGTTATGATAATTAAATTGCTTTTATATTTTGTAGGATAAAAATATCCACTCGAATTAATATATTCTGTGTAAATAACATAATAATTCTGGCATTAAAAAAATTATTTATACAATCTCATTATTAATTTAAGATACACTTGAATAATAAAAATTAACATCTGGTTAATATGATTTATATCTTTTCTGGATTTATTAATAACTATAAAATATAATTACGTTTAATTTTAACATTAACTGTATTAGTTTAAAAACTTGTACAAAATAAATATACTGTACTTTATTAGTTTTTTAATCCACTTTCATTAAGGATAAATTTTAATAACTTAATAATTAAATTAAATTATGTCTGTTATTTTTTATTTTTTTAATTAATTTTTTTAGAAATAAAAGAACATTAAAATTCATTTTTAGTAAGATGAAATTATACAATTAAGTAAATTGGTTTGTTTTTTCGATACTAGATGGCGACGTAGAAATTAAACTTTTGTTATGCTAGACACGTTGCCATCTTATTGTTTATATAAAAATAAAAATAAAATTGAAAAACTCGAACGAATGTTTAAGCGTTTTTTTTTCTTAATATTTTTTTTATATTTTTGTTTAATTTGAAATTTAAAAAAAAATTTTCTGAACAAATTTCAAAAATTTTTACTATGTCTCGAACTAGATTTGTGTTTACTTAAGCCAAAAATTGAAAGAATCTGTCCACTTTCCGATTTCCGCTTGTCAATTTAGTTCCTTATCCTTCCTCCATTTTTTTTTTTTTATTTTTATAAAATTTTTTGAAGAAAATATCGGAAAATTTTATTAAAAAAATAAAAGATAAGAAGTATATTTAGTCACATTAAAAAAACTATAACTTTATCTCACTCTAGAATAAAAATATTTTCTATTATTAATGATATCTGTATTGAAGATGTATAATTTGTCATACTGAAAATAGACAAAAGTTATTCGATAAATCTATTTTTCTGTATAAAAATAACCGAATAAATCTAAATTTAAATATTTTATCTTCTTAACAATCGACAGGAACGATTTTTTTTAAATTTATAACCAATAAAAAAATTAATTTTAAAATATAGTATATAAAAGATTGGATTAAAAATTTCTTATAAAAATCATTGTATAGTAGGCCTTTTTATAATTGAAATACAATACAACTTAATTACGATATCTCAAAACGTTTACGTGTAATTATTACATTTATTATTATAGTAATGGCGTTTATAATGATAAAACTTTGTAATGTATACTATAGATAATAAATTCATTTGTATGATTAATTAAGCGCAATTATATTAATAAATATTATTAATTTATATATTTATATTAATAGATTCCTGAAAGTATACTGATAAGTATGAAAGACATTCATACAGTAAATGATTTCATCGATAACTTTATCAGGCCGGAAGGTTTGTTTAATTAAAAATTTTAAATGTTAATTTATATAAATTTAACTATATGTATTTTATTTTACGCAATTTAAGCTTTAAAATCTATTACATAAAATATAAAAATAAGTTTAAAAGTTTAAAGAATTATCACCGCTAAAATCGAGACCATCTTTAATTTTTTTTTATTGTGTGACGATTAATGCTTGAAATGTTATTTTTCAGAATTAGAAAGTATACAACATAATTCAATATTGGATAGAAGTTGGTATTTCACTTATTATTTTTTAAAATATAATTTAAAATATTATAATATTCATTTACATACATTTCTTTGCAGGTGGAGGAAGTGCAAGTATAGGTGCGTTTAATGTTAAGTTTGTGCTTATTTATAATAATTAAACTAATTTCATATTGCGAATAGTCTATATTCTATATATTACTACAATGTTTAATCTTTATTATTATTATGTAAATTTGAATATCTATAAGAATTATACATAAAGGATTTTTCAGGAATATTTCATTTAATCCTATTGATTTCTTTATAGGAAGAAATGTATAAATGTATATTTTTTAAAGGTTATTTTATTATAAATTACAGTATCAGTCGAGAAAGAAGGGGAAATAATAAAAAAAATGTATGAAGTCTTGATGTATTAAGGAGGAGTTCCCAATTGGAATCAATTTTCTGACAGAAGTCTTATACTTTAAGCTCCACTCTACTAAATTTTCCCGTCCTACTTCTTGTATAAATATATATTTAAGGGTATAAATCTTCGAAATAGCAAATTTTTGAAGTTTCATACTAAACTTTTTGCCATGATTAAAAATTGAAGATATCTTAATCTCGTTATAAGATTAACTTATATTGATGATATTTTTTAACACATGATTATATTTATTTTAACTCTGGGAATGGTTAATAATTTTTTGGAATATTTTTTCTTCGATTAAGAAATAATTGAAGTCTTATTTTTACGAATTCCTTCAATTTAACCAAGCGTTAAATTTTAATTAACATGTAGCAAATGAGTAGAAAATTAAAGGAAGTATGCCATGATAAAAAGTGGACAGAGAAGGAAATGAGAATAAGGAAATAAAAATAAAGATAAAAAAAAAATAATTTTACCAATAGAATTTCTGCAAGAACTTCTCTGCTTGAGAACTTTGTGTCAGATCTGATGGAAGGCAAATCAATCAAATAGATTCTAGTCCATTTTCTATAAATCCTTATTGGGCAAGCGATCCGTCAAATGCGAAGCATCTTATTTTCATATATCCAAATTTTTAACTTTAACGTTTTATAAAAAATAATAATAAAAAAAGCTCCGAACGTCGATAGGAAGAAAGAAAGAAGGAGAGAGAAAAAATACGCACTAGTTTTGTCGACTAATTCTCCATCCATCATTAAACATGACGATCATCTAAAGATGTTTATATGGTCTTGGATTTTCTGAGGCATTTGTCAGTCGAAACGAGCTCGGTCCTCATTTCTGTTCGCCCATCCGAAATGTTCTAGACATAATTGTCACGTGACAAACCGTGTAACGAGTTTGGCAGGAAATGTGGAGGAAAAGCCAAACTTCATCTGTCTCATCTTTCTTTCCGTCCTTCCCCTTTACTTCTAATGGAATTTTAGGGTTTTTAATTTTTCTCACTCGTTTTAAAAGAAGATACATAATTCTTTTATATAGACATAATGCTCTTATATATAAAAAAGGACAGTTTTTCTAACTCGGTTAAAGTTATAAATTTAATTTTTATTGAGTTCAACCGTTCTTATTGTTTCTTGCTATCTTATACCTCACCCTTAGCTTTATATCTAAGTTTGGGATATAATATGGTCACTGACATTTTTACCATTGTATAGTGACATATTGGATCTTTATTGTATAGGTAGAGTTGGTCCACAAAATTGACTATCAGAAGAATACAGGCTGGACGTCCATTTACTTGACTTACGACTTGTCTCACTCAGTACAGCACTTAAGTGCTCCATATGTTACACCTAAATCTCTCCGATTGAAACACTAACTTCGTCCTCTTTAAAAAAAGAAAAAAGAAAAAAAAAGACAAGTGAATGCGTGTTCTTTGTGGTATTTAAGAGGCATCTAATTTGAAATTCGATTTGTGATTCTCCATGTCGATTTTTTTCCATCTGCATAACAAAAACGTGGTAAACGAGCAAAGTATGTTTCCGAGTGAAGGCGAGGAATACTAGAAAAGCTAGAAAGATAGGGAAATTCCATTTGTGATAGTAGGTCTATTTGGTCAATGACGTGATCAGAATTTCGTTTTTTTCTCCCTTCGCGTATTTATTTTTTCCTCCAATTCCCATTATTCACTTTGAGTATAGACTGGAATTTTATTATATATATATATAACCTTACCTACATATCTTTCTTTACAGATTCTCTACCTTTTGCTGAAAGTGCCGGTTGTAAACCGATACCTACTCTTGTTAGTTTAACTGAAGAAAATAATTTTTCAATCTTCTATTTTCCCACATGTGTTTATGTAGACAGATGCTCCGGATGTTGCGCGAGTCAGAGGATGCAATGTTCTCCTACTCAAACGACGATGCAGAGTTTTAAGGTCGTATAATGTGTGTGATATTACCGTAAACGGCGTGGCAAATGCCAAAAACTATTAACGTTAATTGTTCAATTAATAACTTAGCAACACTCCAACTAAATTAAGAAAATCGATTTTTGAAAATAAACTGATTAACACGAAACGTTACACGCGACTTATTTAAATCGATTTTTTCGTTTTTTTTTTTTTCATTTTATAATATTCTTTCTAAGTAAAACGCTGGTGTTATAGCCAGTAAGTAACGTAAAAGTATTATTAATTAATTATATTGAAGTTTTATGTCTCGAAATGATCCATTCTATAAATAGGTGCGTAACTAATAATTAGATTATCCGCATGTTTGCCAAGCGATAAGTTTTTTCAACATTCAGAATCGATAGTGTAAAGAATTTTTTAAATTTTTTATAGGTTCTTAAGGCTCGTTACACTGGCAGCGGGTCTACTACTTTCAAGAATGAAGGATACGAGATTTTACAAGTGGAAAAACACGAAAAATGTTCATGCCAGTGCATCATTAAACCAGAACATTGCACGGATCGACAAATGTATCATGAATGTTCCTGTTCATGTGCTAATGGACACCAAGCCGCCGATTGCCCTCGACCTTTAAAATCCTGGGATCACGATCAATGTAGATGCAAATGTCGGTGGGAACGTCCTTGTTCTACAAATTTATACTTCAATACAGATACTTGCAGGTAAATATTTTAGAAAAAAAATTTATATATTTTTTTCTCTATAAAATCATTTTTAAGGTTGTAATTTTACTTTACTATCCACTGACAAAATATAAAATAACAACGATGCGGCCTACCGCACATTCTTTAGTGAAACTGATGTAACCACTTCTTTACATTCTCTGCTTCTTCCCATAAATATTTTGCTGTGCATGCAGCTGTGTTTAATTCTGTAAAGCCATAAATATGTCAGAATAACAGAAGCCATAATGTCCATAAGACCTATCCAATCAATACTCCTTTATGACTTCTCCAAGTTAAAGGAAAAAAATGAATTAAAATCAAGTAATTTCGCCAAATTTGAACAAGTTAGAATTTACATTATTATTATATTTTTTCAGTCATTCTGACTCTTTTTTTCCAATAAAAATCCGAACAATGTTTCTTTCTAATGTAAAATCTACTTTGAAAATTTAATTTAAAATTGAAAAATGTATAGAATTTAACCATAATCCTAGTGATTAAATCCAAAATTGGGTAATTTCTCACGTTTTAGTTAAAGAAAATTAAATAAATATAGACGTGCTTACAGAAATTTTCTTCGCAGAAATATTTTTCAATTTAATTATTAATTACTTTTTAATTTTCTTGATTAAAAAAAATGTTAATAATATGTTTAAACACGATTAAAGTGTGTTTACTCTTGCATCTGATTTGTCTTGTCTCCAGAGAAGAATTAATTGATTATAAATAAACTTTTTAATTTTCTGCTTACAAAGATAATATTCTCATTAATAAAACTGTAAAATTTAAAATAAAATTTTACTAATAAATTTATAAGCGAGCTTAAATTTAAAAATATAAAAATGATGCTTTTCTTTTTTTTAAATGCCCCTTTATGTCGCCATCACTGCACGCATTTTAATGTTTGCAGGAAAAACATCCTTTAAGGCGAAAAAGCGGAAATTTTTTTCCTCTTAACTTCTCTAGTTTAAAACATCAAATATAATGAATGTCAGAGTAGAAAATTAATATTTATTTTTTTGCTAAATGTGAGAAATGTTCAAATATTACCTTTCTGAATAAATTTCTATAAGCTGTTTACATATGCACATTGAAATTTCCAAACTGTTTCTTCAACGAATGGATATATACGCGTATAAATGTATAAAATATATATATTTTTTTTATACTCGTCCGCAATATTTTATTCATCACAACAGCTCACAACAATGTTTATATTTGCAAACTACCTAAAAGTATATAAAATATCGTCTTTATTAATTATTATTATCGTTAGAAACTCGTTAAAGTTTCATAATGTAAGTATATTCGTTTTCTCGCGTGTAAGATAAAAAAAAATTAATATAAAAATTAAACATCTTTCTAATTCATCATTTACTGCAGGTGCGAAACGGAGAGAAACTCATTGATCGAAATAAATTCAAGAATGAGGACGGAAAGTACAAGTAACGAAACGTCATCAAATTCAATTTTGTTCCCTTCAGACTAGTGAAGAGACAGATGGTATTTTACCTCAAAACATCAATATTTTAAATTGTATTTGATTTTTATTAAGGATTTCGTTCTTAAAGACAGCAGAAAGGAAGAAAATCTTGGGAATGTTTTCAGGTGAAAACTTCTCACGTGAAGCATTAATTGAGATACCTGAACGGGCACGAAACATCTGTTACCTTATATAAAATTCCATTTTCTGTTATTCTCCTCCTGGAAATGGCTAAATATTATTAATAAATGGTAAAATATTTATCATTCTTCTTAATTATTATTAATGTAGCCATGTTTGCACAGGAATCGAGATGATTAATCCACTACTTGATGGGTAAATCCGGCTTCTCGACCTCAATTAGGATCTATATCCCAAACACCTGTCAAAGAAGTATCGAACGAATACAAATGTGTCAATCGATGTAAGTTGAGGCCGTTGGTCAACGTACATACTGGAAAAAAAAGGGAGTTTTTGCCTTCTTACTAAAATCTTCTACAGTTCGATAAGGGAATAATTCGATCCGGATACAGACTCAACAGCTGGCTCCACATAAATTTCGGGTTGTCAACAGTTGAAAAGTCGATAAATATAGCAAATCTCCATTTAAATTCCACTTTTTAAAAATATTTTAAGCAGTTTAGCGAACCAAATATAAGGAGAAGAATTTCTTTATTAAATCGCGACAGGTGGTATCAAAGGGGCTGAGAAAAAATTAGGTAAAAAGAAAAAAAAAAGGAGAAATGAAAGGACGTAACGCTGTTTGATCGATCAAACAGGCAATGATAAGCAAGCGAATGCAGCAGTAAACGTTACATCAATGTCTAATTTTGTTTTATGTTGCCGTTTCGCCGAGACAATATGGGAGAGAAATAGAACGCAGCCTTGACATGTTCCAAGTGATTTGGATCAAAGAAAAGAAGGAATATAAATAAGATCCGGTCGGAAAAACAGGAAAGGAATCGTATAAATTCAATTGTTTGGAAAAAACAATGCACAATTCGTGATTTGCAGATTGATTCTACTACAAGAATTCCCTTTATAAAATATATATCACACATATATCTGGTTTGATATAAGTTTATTCACGAATTGTATAAGTTTAAATTTTTAATACAACGAATAAGATATACACTTATACACATGAACGACATGTAAGGAAAGATTATAAAATTGTATCAAATATAGAAAAAAACAAACAAACAAAAATGGCAGCTTCGTTTCGATTCAATTAAATATATTCAACAGATCTGTCGGAGGGGTTATTCCTTTTTTTATTCTTTAAATAAAAATCCGGTAAAGTGGAAAGAATGACAGTCAGCTGTCTGTCATAAAGGAAAATGTAATTCGTGGATGTATCGATCTTTTCGGCTTGTTTTGTTGGTCAGATGGTTCGCAAATGAAGACGAATTAGTCTCTTGGAACTTTGCCATTCTGCAGCATCTTGATTGATTACTACCAGAGATTTATATTTAGTAACATAAATAGCCTTATTATATATATATATACATCCTACTTATTTTTCGCATTCTCTTCGTCGTTAGCAGCAACGTCCAGGTTCCTCCGAACTCTTATCCACCTTTTGAACTACTTAAATTGACTATTTTCTAATGTTTTAAAGTAAAAATTGGCACGAAAAAAAATTCCTGAATATGTTTAACAACCATACGATATACACGTACACCAACAAAGAATAAAAAATATCATATTTTCGCGTTGTTTACATCTACACTGTGGTTTCGAAAATTCTCCACTCGCATTGGCATCTTACGTTTTCTCTTCTGGGTTCCTGTTGGGGGATAGTTTCTGGGTTGTGACGTAAACAGTTCCTTGGTAGTTCATGGAACCCGTGTTCCATGAACTACCAGGACAGTTCATGGAACCTCGGCTCTTCGCTGTCTTGGAGGACTTGATATTGTGATATCACACATAAGAGACAATATATCTGAAACAAGAAAAATCTTTTTAAATCGTTATTCTATCGAAGTAATTTAATAAAAACGAAATTACATAGGTTTTTCTACATGGTTTAGTATTTGTCAATGCAATTTTGAATAGATTTTTATATTTTATAAGCTAATTTAGGGAAGAAAAAAATGAGATTTCTAAAATAAATTCTATTCTATTCAATCGATTTTATAAAAGAATTTATTTTTTTCCTTTATANATTTTTAACCCAGAAAAGTTAAAAGTCGTTTAATATTCAAATAAAATTTAAATAATTTTTCTTTAATGTGATTGGATAACTTTATTACGTAACTTTATTCAATTTTTTTTAAACGTTAAACTATAAGCAATATTATCTAAACAGAAACGATTATAACACGATCAAAGATATTAATTTATTATTTTAAAATACACAATTTATTTTATTTGCTAGAAAAATGATTAAGGGCATTCATAACCAGATGACGTCTGCTTATGACGTCAATTTAAAATAAATTATGTTGCAAAAATATAATCATCGCCAAAATCAATTCGTACAAATTAAATTATCTGAGTTCAATGCTTTAAAGTTTGGAAATATTTATAAGATATTTTTTTTCATAAAGTAAATTATTTACGTTTAAATTCAGTTATCGAAATACGTCATAGAAGTCTCGTCCAATGAACTTCTGGGTACTTTAACAACATTTATGTTGGTAATAAATTTAAGAAAATAACCAAAATGTTATCGTTTGAGCCACTTAAGATGAAAATTTGTAAAGTTTGGATGTTTTCAATAATTTTTATTATTTCTTTAGTTATATCCGAGAATCGCATTGTCTTTCCTGATGACGAGACTATTTCACGTAATCAAGACGAAAGTAACGCAACCTATTTTAAGGTAACTCGAAAAATTAGATTTTTCTACTCGGAAAACTTTATTTACTTTTATTATTATTATTTTTTTATAAAAGCCAATGCTTTAATACAACTTTATTAAAATTTACGATCGCCATTTTTATTTGATTATATAATAAACTTTAATCCAATTTGATTAAAAAAAAGTACTTAACCGTAGAAATAGTCGTAAATTTAACCAATCAACTACTAGCTTTTTATTTTTTTTTCTTAATTTAAATTAAACAATGCGACAATTTTTATTGGTTCAATTCAATTGGATCCGTGTTTTTTTAAATTTAAATTTAAAAATAACGGAAAAAATAAAGTTTTTTTTTAAAAGTTTTATTTTAAAAAATATTAAAAAATTTAATTTTCTAAATGCCGAATTTTGGATAATTTAAGTTTATAATTTTTGTTTGTTTAAACTGAAAAAAGTTATTCCTCTTTTAAAATATTGATCCGCTATTATAATTGTGTAATTGGATTGATACGGTCCATTGTTCTTTTCTAAAATTTTAAATTTATGTATAAACAAAATTGTAGTAAAATTCTTTACTGAAAAAGAAGAAAAAGAGAAAGAATTTTTGTATATATTAAAGAAAAAGAATAATAATAATAAATTCTAAATCAATATTCCATCAAGATGAGCCTGAACTTTGATGTTTATAGCAGAAAAGTGTGTGATGCACTAGATTCTATTAAGTTTAATTATAAATAATATATTTATCTTTATAAATACTTATTTAAGTAATACTTTTATGGATATTAAATAAAATAAATTCTAGAAAAATATTTTAAAAACTTTAAAGAAACGATTAAATTTATGTTATGATAATTAAATTGCTTTTATATTTTGTAGGATAAAAATATCCACTCGAATTAATATATTCTGTGTAAATAACATAATAATTCTGGCATTAAAAAAATTATTTATACAATCTCATTATTAATTTAAGATACACTTGAATAATAAAAATTAACATCTGGTTAATATGATTTATATCTTTTCTGGATTTATTAATAACTATAAAATATAATTACGTTTAATTTTAACATTAACTGTATTAGTTTAAAAACTTGTACAAAATAAATATACTGTACTTTATTAGTTTTTTAATCCACTTTCATTAAGGATAAATTTTAATAACTTAATAATTAAATTAAATTATGTCTGTTATTTTTTATTTTTTTAATTAATTTTTTTAGAAATAAAAGAACATTAAAATTCATTTTTAGTAAGATGAAATTATACAATTAAGTAAATTGGTTTGTTTTTTCGATACTAGATGGCGACGTAGAAATTAAACTTTTGTTATGCTAGACACGTTGCCATCTTATTGTTTATATAAAAATAAAAATAAAATTGAAAAACTCGAACGAATGTTTAAGCGTTTTTTTTTCTTAATATTTTTTTTATATTTTTGTTTAATTTGAAATTTAAAAAAAAATTTTCTGAACAAATTTCAAAAATTTTTACTATGTCTCGAACTAGATTTGTGTTTACTTAAGCCAAAAATTGAAAGAATCTGTCCACTTTCCGATTTCCGCTTGTCAATTTAGTTCCTTATCCTTCCTCCATTTTTTTTTTTTTATTTTTATAAAATTTTTTGAAGAAAATATCGGAAAATTTTATTAAAAAAATAAAAGATAAGAAGTATATTTAGTCACATTAAAAAAACTATAACTTTATCTCACTCTAGAATAAAAATATTTTCTATTATTAATGATATCTGTATTGAAGATGTATAATTTGTCATACTGAAAATAGACAAAAGTTATTCGATAAATCTATTTTTCTGTATAAAAATAACCGAATAAATCTAAATTTAAATATTTTATCTTCTTAACAATCGACAGGAACGATTTTTTTTAAATTTATAACCAATAAAAAAATTAATTTTAAAATATAGTATATAAAAGATTGGATTAAAAATTTCTTATAAAAATCATTGTATAGTAGGCCTTTTTATAATTGAAATACAATACAACTTAATTACGATATCTCAAAACGTTTACGTGTAATTATTACATTTATTATTATAGTAATGGCGTTTATAATGATAAAACTTTGTAATGTATACTATAGATAATAAATTCATTTGTATGATTAATTAAGCGCAATTATATTAATAAATATTATTAATTTATATATTTATATTAATAGATTCCTGAAAGTATACTGATAAGTATGAAAGACATTCATACAGTAAATGATTTCATCGATAACTTTATCAGGCCGGAAGGTTTGTTTAATTAAAAATTTTAAATGTTAATTTATATAAATTTAACTATATGTATTTTATTTTACGCAATTTAAGCTTTAAAATCTATTACATAAAATATAAAAATAAGTTTAAAAGTTTAAAGAATTATCACCGCTAAAATCGAGACCATCTTTAATTTTTTTTTATTGTGTGACGATTAATGCTTGAAATGTTATTTTTCAGAATTAGAAAGTATACAACATAATTCAATATTGGATAGAAGTTGGTATTTCACTTATTATTTTTTAAAATATAATTTAAAATATTATAATATTCATTTACATACATTTCTTTGCAGGTGGAGGAAGTGCAAGTATAGGTGCGTTTAATGTTAAGTTTGTGCTTATTTATAATAATTAAACTAATTTCATATTGCGAATAGTCTATATTCTATATATTACTACAATGTTTAATCTTTATTATTATTATGTAAATTTGAATATCTATAAGNTTATTTTATTTCAAAATATTTCCAAATTCTAAATTATGAAAAATTATTGGAAAAGATTCTATTTCCATCATTTAAAAAAAATGTATTGATAAATTTTATTTTGGCTTAGTGAAGAGGGTTGAAGTTAAAGGTCGTTTATCCTCTAAAAAATTTAATTTTTTTCTTCAATATTGGCCGAGTATATTATTCATTTTTATGTTTTTTGATTTATATTATTTTCTAATTAATCAGAAGGAATTTTTTTCCTGGAAAGTGGAAGGATACTTAATGTGTTTTTTTGACTTTATGAGTTATATCTGCTGCTAATTTTCTATATGGCTGCCATGCAATAAAAAACGATCGTAAATAATATCTTAGTAGAAAAGTATAGAAGAAAAACATCCATTTTACTTGGGAAAAAAAACATTTTTTTTCTCTTTATACTATTGGAGATTTTACATTTGTATATATTGTATATTGGGTTGTAAAAAGTTTGTTTCCGTGTAGAAATAGGTAGTTACATTGTTGAGGTAAGGGATGAGAGGATGCGGAGAAGATCACATTTTAAAAAAAAAGACGTAAAAGGATATCGTGTAATTGTATAAACTGATGTTCTACAATGTGGAATGTAAAGTGGATCTAATACAGGACCTAAAAGTTCGTAAGCGAAGCAATATTATAGTCACTATCCATTATGGATATAAATGGAAGCGATGAAAGGGCATTTATAAAGTGAATAACGTGAAGAAACAGCCTTGAAAGTACTATACAATATGGAGATAAACGGAAGTTAGTATTATGATAGGCAGATAAAAAGGAAGCATCAACAATAGAGAATAACGCAGAAGTTAAAACGATAAAAGTATAGTATTATATCCTATAATATAGATTTAAAGCTTAAAAAGTTTTTCATCTTTATAGTTTAAATTATATTAAGTATTAAGAATTTATTACATAGTACGTAGACATATAAAATTGAAAAGAGGAAGAGAGAAGCATTCTCAACACTACTTATTTTTATTATAAAATAATTTATTCTTGTAGAAAAGACTGCAAATAACTGTACTTAATATTCAGTGTGGTCCAAACGTCGGTTAACCATTGTAAGAATGACATTACCGAGTTTCTTAAAATCTCGGTTAACAGACTTTTGAGCCATTGTATATATTAATTATATATAAATATCCCGAAATAAATAAGAAAGAATTTTTGAGTAAGCATTTCTACTAATTTATTGCTCTTCAAAGTATAAAAATTTTATAAAAACTAAACAGATTTTCTCGAGATATTTAACTTTAATGAATTTTTAATCTTTATAAATTATACCCTTCTTTAATATTAATTAAAGAACTTATTCTGTATATAACTTTATAACTTTAAATTTAAAAATATAATAAAAATGTTCATATTTTATTAAAATATAGTAAAAGAGATATTTATTCTTAAAAAAATGAATGAAACAATGTACTAAGATAAATATTTATAAGATAACGCGCATTAAACAATTTGTGAATCTTGGAAGTATTAAAAAATGGATCAGATACTATACAAAATGGAAGTAAATGGATTAAAAACGGAGAAGGAGTTATCAAAAATGGATGAGGTACTAAAAGTTATTGTGATATATGGCTTATTTATATAGAAACCAGTTAAGTAGAAATTTAATATTGTATAGATAAGAATTTAAAATACCTCATTACACTAATAAAAGTCAAGGGATGCATTGTACTGTACTGTACTTATGCAGTTAGGACCTATATCGAGTTAGATATGCGTTTAGCTATCTCTGAGCTTTAAAAATTTTTTAAATTTTGGTGAAAATGGACTGAAACGAATTTCCGAGATAACAGAAAATGTGCATAAAAATTTTGATTCTATTTTTATTCGCTGGTTCTAATATTTTCAATCATTTATTTCATTCTAAATAAAATAAATAAATGTAATAAAAATCGAAAACTTCGCAATTGTTTACTAGGAATAATAATTAACTCTCTTAACAATATTTTATGTCGATATTTATATTTTATTATTCTTAAATTCGTTTTGATTGAATGATCCTTGCATCAATTACTTATCGTTTGTTTAATTCTTTGATTTTATTTGTCCTTTTAACAATAAAATGAAAAGTAACTTTTTTCTTTAAAAATATCATAATTATTGATGTGATAAATACAAACTAAATTTTATAATATGTATATATATATATAAGAATTATATATNATCTCGGTTAACAGACTTTTGAGCCATTGTATATATTAATTATATATAAATATCCCGAAATAAATAAGAAAGAATTTTTGAGTAAGCATTTCTACTAATTTATTGCTCTTCAAAGTATAAAAATTTTATAAAAACTAAACAGATTTTCTCGAGATATTTAACTTTAATGAATTTTTAATCTTTATAAATTATACCCTTCTTTAATATTAATTAAAGAACTTATTCTGTATATAACTTTATAACTTTAAATTTAAAAATATAATAAAAATGTTCATATTTTATTAAAATATAGTAAAAGAGATATTTATTCTTAAAAAAATGAATGAAACAATGTACTAAGATAAATATTTATAAGATAACGCGCATTAAACAATTTGTGAATCTTGGAAGTATTAAAAAATGGATCAGATACTATACAAAATGGAAGTAAATGGATTAAAAACGGAGAAGGAGTTATCAAAAATGGATGAGGTACTAAAAGTTATTGTGATATATGGCTTATTTATATAGAAACCAGTTAAGTAGAAATTTAATATTGTATAGATAAGAATTTAAAATACCTCATTACACTAATAAAAGTCAAGGGATGCATTGTACTGTACTGTACTTATGCAGTTAGGACCTATATCGAGTTAGATATGCGTTTAGCTATCTCTGAGCTTTAAAAATTTTTTAAATTTTGGTGAAAATGGACTGAAACGAATTTCCGAGATAACAGAAAATGTGCATAAAAATTTTGATTCTATTTTTATTCGCTGGTTCTAATATTTTCAATCATTTATTTCATTCTAAATAAAATAAATAAATGTAATAAAAATCGAAAACTTCGCAATTGTTTACTAGGAATAATAATTAACTCTCTTAACAATATTTTATGTCGATATTTATATTTTATTATTCTTAAATTCGTTTTGATTGAATGATCCTTGCATCAATTACTTATCGTTTGTTTAATTCTTTGATTTTATTTGTCCTTTTAACAATAAAATGAAAAGTAACTTTTTTCTTTAAAAATATCATAATATTTGATGTGNAATATAATTAATTAGTTATTTAGTTATTAAGCTTCGTCTTCAATTGCATCAATGACATCTAAGCCAGCCGCTTAAAGGGCTATACGACACAGTTTTGATTAGATATCGAGCCGATAATCGGATTTTATGTAAATTCTAAATAATGAAAATCCTACATTTGTAAAGGAAACGTATACTGGGATACTCTTTATGACTTTCGTTCACTGGATGGTGGATTTATTATAAATTATGACGTAAATATGTTTAAAGGTCTTGATAGTATGTAGCCCATAGGAAAGAGTCACATTGGGTCACGTCCAATTCGGGCCTTTAATTTCTTTACGTCCAATTAAATGATAACATTGACAAAAAACTTTGATACTGTATACCTTGAATAAGTTTAATTTACGTTTAATTAACAAAGATATTAACTTAAAAGTTTAAAATTTGAAACCCATTAAGTTACAATAAACCAACAAATCGTGCGAATCGGATTTTATAATTATTATACGCTTTATTTTATTCACACGATTAAGACTTTTCTCATAAAGATATTAATTATTATTTTGTCATTAACCTTTCTCAAGCTATTTAATAAGCAACACATGATTTAAAATTAATATTTAACGACTTCATACGTTTGCAATTTTCTAACATCCACATAGGTCTGTTTTACATCGAATTCCATTGTACAGAATGATTCACAAATCATTTACCTAAAAATTTCAGTTAATATAGATATATTTTCTTTGTTTTTTTAATTATAAAAGACTAACACTTTCGAAGAATTTGAAGCTAACAATGAAGCTAAAATTATTTATATTATTGATGCAATGTTACATAAAGTAAACTCACACATAATACTACAGAAGATCATTATGAATAATTACTGTGATTATACATAATGATGTAGTAAAGTGTCATAAAGTGTTGATAAATATATTATATTGTAAAATGTTTTTAATACATGATTAAATAAACAATGTTTTATATGGATAACGTAAATTTCGAATTATTTTGTTGTTTTGCTACGTCTTGATACTTTTTAAATTCATCTTCATCAAATAAATAATGTAAGATGAGATTTGAAATTTTACTCGCAGATAGCGTGTATTATATTAAATTTGAAAATTTTATTCGTTTGAGTAAACTGTCATTTTATAACTTAGCAAAACGATCTGTATTGTAAGAAGAAGAAAATTGGAAATTCGTAGAAGACTAGTTTTATCTTAAATTTACAAACAAAATATTGATGGTAAGTGAATTATTCTTTGATATTTCAATAAACTAAGAACTGGAGATATATTTAAACACGCGGTTACTATTTTTATTTATTTTTTATTGTATTGCGCGTTTAAATTTCCTTAGATATTTGTACTGTACAGTACAGTACTGTACAACGTTCTTAGCTTTCGCTGTAAAATTCTAGACGTCGCAAACACAAGGACTATTTAATAATTAATTATCATCGATTAGAGAAGTAAAATAGTAATATGTATAACTTACAAATAGTGTTAGTTGAATAGGCCTATATCTTGAATATCTGCCATACTTTTTAGGTCTAAACTGAGGTACGACAAAATAACCAATATATCACTAAATTACTATTCGAGATGCCATCAAAATATCGTCAATGTGAAAAAGATAAATTTTTTAAAGTCGCGAAGATGGAAAGTGTTCAATATACGAGCAATTATTTATTGTGACATTGTCACAATGCTGGGCTGCAATTTTTAATCATATTTTTAATTTATTTAGTTTAAAATATATGCGCTCCATCTTAAATTATTAGTGGCTTGCTCCTGTACATCATACTTTTCCTGTTAGCAATTGAGTCGTCTATCTAACTCCTTTTGGCGGTAAATTTCGAATTGAAATAACGCGATTTCCGGTTTGCTTCGGAAGTTATATAGTTAATCGCGGCTTTCTGCCTCTAAGCTTTCCATATCTGCCTCGTCTTTCTTTTGTCAAACTCTGTTCTCGAGATTAAGGAAGGACAGACAAACGACAGTGGGCATCTATAGATCTACAAGTTTTTTTAAATTGCAGCCAAATAAATATATAGACTAAAGAATCCTCTCACAAAATTAGCAATATATTTTCATGAAATTACCCATGATATCTCAAAATAACCACCTGTACTCAACATAAAAAATATACTCCTAGAAAACTAACTTGTAAGATATAAATATATTCATAGTAAAAAAAAAAACATGCTGTTATCTTGAGAGTATGGTCCCTTTAATAGTATAGTTATCATTTCCATTTACGAAATATATATCCAATAATTAAAGAAAAATTAATTTTATTACGAATTTAACTGTGTTTACCCTATACTATGTAATGTGTTGTACATAATTGTAATTTGAAGTTATTGAAGCTTGTATTAAAAATACAAATATATGTATACCTTTTTTAATTTACAGAATTTTAAATTATATCTTTGGATAAATTATGTAAACAAAGCAATAAGAACTATCAGTTTAGAATGAACGATATTTAAAATCAATGACCAAAGATAGATTTTTGAATCTATTTTCTTATGTTTACTTAATTTAAATTTAAAATGATTTTTGTTTAAATTAAACATGGATTTTTATATAAAATATAACTTTATTATGAAAACATCAAAAATTGATCAATGCTCGATGTTAAGAATTCTTTCTTTTATTTTCCTTTTTCGAAAATAATAAGATTTATAATTTAATATTTTTGTTAAATAATATCGAAGAAGAACTTTTTATAAGTTAATACTTTTAACGATACAGAGAAAAATATTAATATGAATAAAATAAAAATATTATTCTGTTTTCTTTGTAATTATTAATATTTAATCAAATTTAATAGAATTATCAATTATATTAATAGAAATTGAATAAAATAAACGTTTTTTTTAAATATAAAAATATTTAATTCTGTATTATAAAATGAGTTCGATACAATAATTTTGAGCCATTAAAATAAGAAAATTAGAAGAAAAAAGTGTTCTTAAGAAAATAGATGCTCTTATTTTCAATACATAAAAATTTAAATACCTGGCGATCGTAATTAAAGTACCCCGTATTTAACGCTGTCCACAGAAATATTTAACTGTCCAAATGCAACCAAATGTGATATGGTGATATTTCAGAACAAGCAAAAAACATTTCCGCAAAAAACAAAATTAGTAACAAAATTCTCCAGTATGGAACTTTTGGCGCTGCAAACAATAAACATTTTACAGTATTTGGAAAAGACACTCATTAGCGACGCAGAGTGTACTGTTCAAAATGGGGTCTTCTTATAAAAATAAAATGATACACAGCTTAAAATAATATTTTTTAAAAATATTTAATTAATAAAAAACAAAATTATTATTTTCATTAAATCTTAACTCGCTTTCTAATAACATACAGAATAAAATAAGAGTGGAAGTAAATTAACCTTAATGAAATTTTTTAATTATCGATTTACGAAACTTTTTCTTAAAGTTGTAAGAAAAATCTGCTTTTACCGAGATCTGCGGAATTTGGTGTCTTCCTTAATTGCGAAATGAAATCGATAATTTTGCCAATGATTGTAAAAGTAGGCGGAGTTATGCCTATTTCTTCGACCAATTATCGTTCAGTTAATTGTATTTTGAGGAATTATTCCGAGTTTTCGTTCGATCTTTCGTGTTTCGCTGAGAACCACCTATCGTTATAAGAATTTATTTTACTTTAATCTAATCTCCTTTACCACTATAAAGTTAAATATAAATATTTATTAAAGACTTACCGTACACAAAAAGAACAACGCATGTTAGAATATAAAAAAAAAATTCTATAATAATATGAAAAACGAGTCTACTTTGAATAAAATCGATATAAAATATATTTAAAACTATTCATTTAGTACTGATTTTTAAAATCAACAAGGGTTGGATCAATAAACTTATGGGTCTTAAACATTCAAAATCGTGAACCCTTTCATAAAAGACACTTGTTTTTCAAATATTCAAAGGTCTAGTATGGAACACAGTTATTATTATTATTATTATGTAATGAATGATAGAAGATAATAAGTTATTCTAAAGGCCGCCGGCCCGTTGTGGGCCCCTTTTTACCTCTCGGCCCTACACAGATATGTATGGTTAACCCAGCCCTGCAGTGAATAAATACTCTTTTGGATACATCAGTATTCAAGGAAGGAAGATAAATATTGCAAACTATGTATAAAGCTAAACGAGAATGAAAATGTTCCATAAACAAGAATATTACAAAGAGTAATTATAATGCTCATCTCCGCGATGGAAGCCACTCTCAAATATCGAGCCATAACAATCACTTAAAATTATATCAATAATTAATTTTCTAATCTACATAATCCAAACAAATGCTTCAATTATATAGACTATACAGGAAACTATCCTAAACTGAAAATCAATGTTAGAACTAATTTAGTCTGTCTCTCATTAGTCTCACAATAGCCATTGATTCATTTCAGAGCACAAAAGATACAGGAAACAAAGCATTTAAGTGGGTGATCAACATCTATTCTATTGGCCTATTTATAGGCTTTTAATCAGTGTATCTCTTGTAAGAATTTGGTAAATTGTGACGTATTGAGTTTAATTAGCAATTTGAATGCTTACATAAACATTATTAGAAAATTTACAAGAGAAGATACTTACGTGAAGACCATCAAAACACCAAAGCACAATTGCTGTAAAGATGGAATAGATCTGAAAATAAAAATTAGTACAAGAATTATTTTATATGGAAGGAAAATATTTCTTGGATAAATCTTTTATAATAAAAGAAATATCGATTTATTTTTTATTTTTTATCTTGAAAGGTGTGGCTGATTATTTTCTAGAAAAGAAACCATTAATCTTAGAGAATTATAGAATTTTTTAAGATGTTGTTTACTCTGTTTTTTTACTATTTTGGATAACACAGTTATAGAGANAGAAAATAAGTTATTCTAAAGGCCGCCGGCCCGTTGTGGGCCCCTTTTTACCTCTCGGCCCTACACAGATATGTATGGTTAACCCAGCCCTGCAGTGAATAAATACTCTTTTGGATACATCAGTATTCAAGGAAGGAAGATAAATATTGCAAACTATGTATAAAGCTAAACGAGAATGAAAATGTTCCATAAACAAGAATATTACAAAGAGTAATTATAATGCTCATCTCCGCGATGGAAGCCACTCTCAAATATCGAGCCATAACAATCACTTAAAATTATATCAATAATTAATTTTCTAATCTACATAATCCAAACAAATGCTTCAATTATATAGACTATACAGGAAACTATCCTAAACTGAAAATCAATGTTAGAACTAATTTAGTCTGTCTCTCATTAGTCTCACAATAGCCATTGATTCATTTCAGAGCACAAAAGATACAGGAAACAAAACATTTAAGTGGGTGATCAACATCTATTCTATTGGCCTATTTATAGGCTTTTAATCAGTGTATCTCTTGTAAGAATTTGGTAAATTGTGACGTATTGAGTTTAATTAGCAATTTGAATGCTTACATAAACATTATTAGAAAATTTACAAGAGAAGATACTTACGTGAAGACCATCAAAACACCAAAGCACAATTGCTGTAAAGATGGAATAGATCTGAAAATAAAAATTAGTACAAGAATTATTTTATATGGAAGGAAAATATTTCTTGGATAAATCTTTTATAATAAAAGAAATATCGATTTATTTTTTATTTTTTATCTTGAAAGGTGTGGCTGATTATTTTCTAGAAAAGAAACCATTAATCTTAGAGAATTATAGAATTTTTTAAGATGTTGTTTACTCTGTTTTTTTACTATTTTGGATAACACAGTTATAGAGAAATTTTTTAAACTTTTTCTATCACATTAATTATTTTTAAATCGATAAAAAAAAGCTATCGAATTGCCTCTAGTACGTTATTAAAATCCAGAAAAGTTTGAGTTTAATATAAGAAGTATGTTGTATTAATGAGGAGAAAAAAATGTTTTTGGAGCTGTAACAAAATTAAATAAAACGAAATGAGCAGCGCAAATACAATTTTAATATTTTTAATTTATTAACTTGCTATAAAATTAGATTTTCTTTTTTTTGAATAAATAAATAAATATATATATATATTATATATATTTAGTTTATGGATTATTTTTCCCTGTTAGGAAGTGTCAGATTTATTTTTGAAATAGATAACTTTATTATGTAGGCCTATATATTATGTCTAGCTTTTTGATCGATAAGTCTAAATTTGAGAGTTTTGATTAACTTATTTGATCACGCGATATAACTTATTCAGGATTGTTTTAGATAAATCCTACTTTATGTTACAGAAAATGAAAACGTGAGATTATATTTGATAAAAACATAAAAAATAATAATAATTCCGCTCCAGTTTTCACTTCACAGTAAATTCTTTCTTCTTTTTTTTATATTATTGGATTCTTATCGGGTATTAGTGATAGAGGATCATATATTTCAAGCTAAATACGAGTCATAACAGCTGACTTATTGTGTTTTGGCTCCGCTGTGTAAATAAACGTGGCTCCAAACCAGTTACCAACATAATAAATAACCAACTTACTATATCCGACAACGGTTTCTCTCCATCCTAACTGCGCTATCTCATTTTTGGTAGGAAAGTGGCTGAAAACAGGAAGAGATACTGGGAAATCATATCGCACGGTTAATAAACTCTCACATAAATGTCGACTAGTTAAGTCGAAAGGNGTTTAAATTTTGAAATAAAATGGAATATGAGAACATTCTAAATTGTTCACTCTCGAATATTATAAAAATTACGAAGAAAATATGAACTTTTTATATCCAATAAATTGAATTTTAATGAACAGTTTTAAATACATTTTATACATTTTTTGATAAGACAGATAAACGGACAAATGAGAAATGAATAATACAAAAATAGATTAAGCAAAAACCACGTTTTTTTCCTTAAGAGTAAGGTTAAATTATTAATTTTACTCCCGAAAATCTGAATTTTGTTTATAATTCATTTATATTAGAAATATAAATAAAATTTGAAACACGTATTCGAAGTTAGTCGAATTTTTTGATCAACTTTTTGAGAATATTGCTGCAGGTCGTGGTTGAAGTTTCAAACGGAATTCAATGATGAAGCTAGTAAACATGTCTCAAGAGAAGTTTCAGCTACTTTAGTAAAGAAAAAAAAGAAAAAAGAAAGTTTAGTCTCCGTGTAAAGTCACTCGAAGTCGAGAGTCTCAACAAATTGATTTGCTACAACTTAACTGTTACCAGTTTCTGCTAATGATTTGTTGACAGTACAGTAAACCATTATTGTAGCTTGATTACGGATAGAAAATTACTCGGGAGAATTTAATTTCTGTTCTGATCAATGATTTTAATGAGAAAATCCGGTTGATGATGCATTACAGTTATAATTCACCTAACTGTGTCGCTATATACAGAAAATTTGTTTACATAATTAAAGCAAAGGGTTAAAAATTAATTTTAAATCTCTGCCACATACTTACATTGCTGTAATATTGTGCTATAAACCAGACACCCAGTGCTATTATCAAAAAAACCTCCAAAACTGTTCCGATCAACCAAGGGATGAACAGGTAGCGGTTGGCCTAAAATTATGTAAAATAATTGGATAAATATTAAATAAATTTCAACTAAATTGTATATTTTGAAAGTAGAATATTTTAATTTTGTTATAAGCAGGTTTAAGACCAACATTCTGTCAGGAGAAGAAAAAAATTCAAGAAGAAGTATGAGATCGTAAAGAAAATCCAGAGATCGAAATTAAAGATGTGGGGATCAAGAAGTGGATTAACGTTAAGCCATTTAATCCGTCCAATAGATTATACAGAAACAATATTGTCGTGTTCATTGTTCATCTAAAACCGTTTTGTTTCTCTTTTAAAGGAGATAAATTTTTAAAAACGTAAATTAATTTATACTCCCATTCGTTGCATAATTACGAAACTTAAATCCGATTTTAAACACCAGATGGCAGTAGGAGGAGTAACCGGGTGGAGTAAAGAAAAACCGCTCGAGCGGTTGACGTTAAGAGAAAAACGATCTTTGTGAAGAAAATGAAGTATTCCTTTTAATGTTTCTTTTCCATTAAGAAAGAATTTAGAAATACATTTAAACTTAAGTGATGTATTACAGTACTTATTAAAAGAGAATTTTTTGAAATTATATAAAACTCTATGAGGGAGTTGTGTTTTTGCTCTGTTCAATTTTGCTCGAATTTCGTAAGTCGAACAAGTCGAATGAGTTGTAAACATGTGGATCGAAGAGAGAAATCCGTTGTTTTAATCAGGTGGTGATGTTTAACGACAGGAAATACACCTGGTGATTGTGGGAGGTCGTGACCGCTTACGTGTCAGCAGACAACACGAATTGTTTTGCTGCTGATGAATTATGCCGACTCATATTGTTTCGTGACTTAATAACTTCCTGCGGTTAAACACTTTACCACAAGTTCAAATCCCTCTTTACTAACATAAAAAATAGGAAGGAGAAAATCGTTCAAACAAATCTACTCGTAGTACTGAGCCAAAAACGTAATAAGTAATTAAAAACTCGCAACTATCTAATTGGTTCTGGTAAGTTTTGAAGTATTGAAAGCTGCCATTATCTACCTCAATTGTAAATTTTAAGTTTAATTCATCGTTTATACAATCAATGTCTATTAATATATTTCACAAAAGTGTAAAATATTTAGTTAATAAACGACCTTTAACCTTTCCAGCCCACACGTTAAAACAAAGATCAATAGAAAGTTCCTAGATTAATCAAATCTGTATTTAAATTACTTCGGTCTATATTAGAAGCGGTTATAAAATTAAATTTAAAATATTTAATAAAAACCACATTAAATATTAAATCTTTCTTTGCAACATTAAAATTTTAATTTAAAATTATTTTAAATAAATATTACTATATATTTAATTAATACGTTTTTAAAATAAACATCTGTATTAAAAGCAATGTTATTGTTTAATATTTAAAAATAATTAAATTCGTTTGAGCAAATATTTACTTAAGATAATTAGTATCAATTTAAAAAATTTTAACAGTAAATTTTATTATTTTTTTAATATTATCTTTCGCATCTTTCATCACTTATCTAAGATCCTTAATAATAACTTTCATATAAAATGTATGAGTTCCTGCTGTGCTATGGAAAAGCGTTTAGAGATACTGTACTGTACTGTACAGTACATAGATTTATATAAGTATAGAAATGTATATTAAAATGTAGTAGACATTGAAAAATATGTAGAAGTAAGTCTTGTAAGATGCTAGAGAAGTGTCGTTTTTCTTGAAAGCGTGTTTCACTTCTTGATCCCATTCCTTGTGTATCCACCCTTTTCGTGTCATAACTGCAAACTTATTGTTTTTACTGTCAATAAAATAAACCATTTTGGTGTTTCTTTTATTTTCTTTGCCGGAAGGATATCCAAAAACATTGCTCCCTAAGGAACTCGAAAACAATATGTATTTTTAGTTGCAGATGGGGGAGATAAAAACAGAATGATGTAGGAGTTATATGAATGACACGTTGCAGTATGATTTTCCATTATGAATTTCAATTTTTTACGTAATATCTTTTTATTAATACTTGGAAAAATTTCTAAAGAAACTTAAAATTTATTTTGTTTTTTCTTTGATTTAATCGCTGAAGGCGTTATTATCCTAACAAAGCTTCATCCTTTCTACACTTTAGTTACGCTTCTGTTCTTTAATCACTTTGATTACTGATTTATTCTACTTCAGTGTAAGTTTATTATTTTCTTTAGAATTTAATCTTAGTTTTTCGGATTATCTTTTTATTATTCTACTAAAAACATTTTAATCGCTTAATTTTTAGTAGCTTTAAAAATTTTTTCTTTAATATTCTAAGTTCCAATTGCTTCTAGTAAATTTAAAACTCAAGTTAATCATTCCCTTTAATCTTAGAACAATGTAACATTGTTCCTTTTTGTTCTGATAATGATAGGACTCAAAATTTATCATTATCACAATGTCAAAGAACCACGATAATGAGCAGCCCTTTCCTTTAATGTTCATGGGAAAAAGTACTGCACAGTTTTCATACTAATACATTGAAATTTTAGCAAAAATTGTTTACAAGTCCATCATTTTCATAACTACATCACAGGTTCCTCGCTTATATTCGTATTAGTTTGGAAATGCCAATTCCCTAGCCACTTTAGTCTTGTTTTCCCTCGAATGTTTAATCACTCGAGAACTAAAATCTCTAGTGATATTATTGCACCGTAGACTTAAAAGTGACAAATTGGACAAGAAAACTCTTATTAGAAGACGCAAAAAGTAACTTTTATGTAACTCGTTCAATTTCTCAAACGTTATCATTTTCACAAAATTACAGTATAATTATTTTATCATCACTGTTTGTTTCTGTCGACGTATGTTAACCATTGGAATAATGAATAACTTTAAATGGAAAGCAGAGCGTGTCAGGGGGGATTACACGTCAAGCTCTGGATATTCTTTCAGAATTGAATAATATCATTACGTGAAAGATAATTACATAAAAGTTTTATTAAAATCTATTTACTGGAAGGAAAATTAGAATTTAACCTGCTTATAGGTATGATTAAAAAAATTTTTTTTTCTTTCGAATGTAAGGTTTATCTTATGATTATTTAAATTAACAAAAAAGATAAATTATATTGAAAAAAATTAAGAAATATAACAAAAGTTTAATAATGAATTTTTAAATGAAATTTCTGTCTTTCATAAACTTACTTTCTTCACTGCGTAAGCTAAGACAGCAGTAAATAATAGAAGGCAACCGCTGAAGACAATGGTAAAGATGGAAACAGCTTGACTTCCTAAGGAATGAGAAAAAAACAAACAACAAAAAAAAACATCAAGTTATTCCTGATAATCCCCGAAAGCAATAAGACTGTCACATTTTCTTTTCAGTCTCTTACACTAAATGGAAAGATGTGGGATAACAACAAACCTGCACGTATCTTTGACTTGGTTACAGACGGAATTTTTCATTACCTTGTCGATTTTTAATACGACCCTGCTTTAAATTATGTATAGAAATACACTGATCGATAATATAATTTATTTTAGAACGGAATATAATTAAAATTTTCATTGTATTAATTAGGTCAAAGCGCTAATTAAGCAAGAAAGTAAGATTTTCCGCTCTCTTCTCCTCATTTTCATGTATTAAAAATAATATTTAAATAATCTGACAGGTCATTAAAATTGATAATTTAATCGTTTTTTAAAGAAATGGTTTTAATTTTAATTCGTTCTCTTAAATTCTTTAAAGCTGAATTAACCTATTGAAATTAATAACGAGAGATTCATTTTTGCGTTTTTTTTTTAAATTGCAAATTAAAAGACACGAAAAAGATGATTAATAAAATTCGAAACAGTAAATTTTTAATAACTAATAAAAATTCTGAAAGTATTATTTAGATACATTAATTTTTTGTTCAATATTTTTATATTAGATGATGAGGAAAATTGTCAGTTAAAATGGAATTTTATAGACATATTTTTTGTGTCTTTCATGTCTTATTTGTCACTGAAGATGATGCAATTTTTCTCTTCATCTTCTTTCCAGTCGTTAAAAACTTTTTTGAAAAGATAGCAAACCTTTAGAGACCAGCGTTATGGACAGACAAGCATTTTTATAACTCTTTGAAACAGAGAAGATAAATATTTAATAATCACTAATTATAAATTTATTTTAAAATAAAAACATTTTATTATTATTACAGTATTATTATTATTATTATTAATATTATGTATAAAATTTTAACGAAGGGGGAAAAATAATGATTCTACTTTTGAATAATTAAAGCGCGGGTCCTCGCTCAAACTTAATTAAAATTTTAAAAATAGTTTAACAACTAAATTACATATAAAAAAAGCATTTTAAAGTGTTTATTAATTAAAAAAGAAAGTTTAATATAAAAACATAGTAGATGGATCTAACACAATAAAGAACGTAACATAAAATAAATGGTTCTGACATAGAGAACAGGTCTAACATAATAAATAGATTTAACATAATAAAAGATTTAACGCAGTAAACAAGACTGATATAATAATGGATGTATGTAATAAATGGCTCGCTCTATATATAAAATAAATGTGCCTAACGTAATTAAGAGCCCAATAAAATATCTAAGTTGCTAAAGGTTTAATTTCATATTTAATATTTTCTATATGATAAACGATTCTTATTCAAGCGAGGGCATAAGTATAATAAATAGCTAACACAATGTAATACATTGAATTTTGTATAATTTGATATTATGTTTATTAAATATGAATAAATTTAGAATAACGTAGGATTAATGTAATGTCTTCACTTTGCTGAGATCATTTCGCCCATGTAATAATATAGGCGAAGTGATCCTAACATGTATAGTCGATACGAGCAAACACGGCGTATTGAATTGCCTAACAGAGAGTTCCTACATGGAATCTATGTGTATCATGCGTGAAATATATACTATAGACTATTTTATAGCTAAATATTTTCATAATTTTTTATATAATTAATTTGAAGGTTATGATTAATTTCATATTAATTCACTTCGCAGTGTAATTAAAAGTTATGTATATTTACTATATCTATATCCATGACGTTTTAGACCATAGACAAAGAGGATATTTATTCTCATTTTTAGTTATTACTGTTATAATTAAGAAAAAATAAATTTAGTGATAAGTATCGGTGTGACTATTCCAAATGTTTATTTTAGAATAGTCCAAATTGGGTTCCAAAATTTATTTTGCCTATAACCCAGAAATCTATAACATGTCACTGTTTACATCTACTTTACTGTGTATTTACTACACAGTAAAGTAGATGATTTCGTATATGATTTCATAAATTCTCATAGAATACTGTACGATGTGATATAGCAGCACATTAACAAGCAATATAATATTATATCCTATCAGATTTATAGATCTTTCCCATCGTAAGGTTTTCATATATCATGTTTACATTAATAAATCTTTTATTATGTTATATTTATAATTACAGAACATTCTTAATTGTATAGAATCTTTATATACTTACGTATTTAATATAATTAGAAATCTAACAAAATAAATAATTTTGTATAGTAACTAAACTTTTAACTTAATAAATTAATTTAGTATTATAAAATATATATAAAAAATTAACAGGATAAAGAACTTAAAGTAATTAATTTATATTTCCGTAGATTAAAAATTTTAAATTTAATTATATTAGAAGAAAAATTAGACATTAAAACTTAATTTTCTCTCATTTTTCCATACGTAGTTTATAAAATTAAATATAATTTCATTCGATCCTCGTAAATGTCGAACTTTACACATCAACAATATTTGTACAAGGTGTAACTCTCAGAATTACGATATAATAAATAACTACAGGTATTAAAAATATCGTTAATTTTATGATCCAAACAATAAAAATCATATTTTAAAAATAATTATTCTCTTTCACATTAATATTGTAAAATAAAAGCTTTCTTCACTTTAAAATCTTTGAAATATTTCACTTTTTGAGAAAGTCCTCTTGAGATTATATGATAAATTTTTGTACATGAAAGAAAGAAATAGATAAAAATAAAAATAAAAAAATAAAAACAAAATCGAAAGTTTACGAGGGGACAAATTATAAGTAGACAGAAAATAACTCTCCAGTTAATTGATAACTATGTTTCATTTTAAGTTATGGGTTTGGTCTTTTTTTCCGCACTAAAATCGATAAAAATCGAAAGAAGATCACGTCAAAGGTGAAAATAATAGTAATTATTAAAAACCATGATATAAACTATGTTATATAAACTCTACTCTATCGAAAACTATAATAAATTAAGTCAAGAAGATTAAAGTTTTATTTTTATAATTATAAATAAGCTAGTATAGGAAAAAAAATTACATTATTTTAAGCTTACCTATTTTATCTTGATTAAAATAAGGTCCGAAGAATGTTGTTTGCCCATCGCAAATAACATACAATGCATATATCAAAAATGCAAAATGGAATACCTAATACAAGAAAAAAAATGTATATATAAAAATGGAGTATGATAAAATGTACTGTACAGTATATAAAAAATTTTAAAACTTTAACCTAGCGCCATCTGTCGTTAGAAATTTAAAAAATGAATATCGATTAAAATTTCAAAAAAAAGTATAAAACATCTGTTCTTATATAATAAAATGTAATAATTATTTTATTATTTAATAATAATTAAAATAAATAATTGATAAAGCTTTAATCTATTAAATACATATTTTTTGAATTTAAAAAAAAAATTATTATTTTTTGCCTCCATTTCCGAGTGTCTGAGAAAGATCAAAAGATAAATAAAAAAAAAATACGAGAAAGGAAACAGCATATGATGCAAGAGTGAGTATTTTCCGTTGACATAAAAGATCTTGAATACCAGAAAATATTAGTCTTGTTGATCATGATCCAATTTTTATTTTCTTGTGATCTTATATATACAGTGTACAGAATATTTTTTTTTTTAACTTGAATTTTAATAAAAATACAATTTTCCTTTCTATATTATTTTATTATTATTTTTATAATTCGAAAAAATATTTACTATCGCATTAAAAAAATTATAACAATAACATTTTTCTTTATAAAGACAGTTTCTAATATAAAAATATAAACATTCTATTTAGAGGAAAATATATATATATTTTATATAAACAATATTTGAAAAAATATTTCCTTAACTGATTTATATTTTTGTTGTTTATATTGTTTGCTAAATTTAGATAAAAGAAAGAAATATTCAATCTGATTTTAATAGGACTGTTTTGCTTGCCTTTTCTTTAAATCATGATATTGCTTAAGTTGAATTCTTTAAAAAAAAAAAGTAAAATAAAACGGATAAATGCAGAAAAATTCAGTAGTATTTTTTTAGATTTTATACTGAAAATGCTATAAATCTAATAAAAGCAGTTATAATGCTAAAACTTTCATTCTTTCTGTCCCGTTAACAAAAATGTCCCGAAGCGAAACATTACGAACTTTTTTACGTTACAAAATTTAATGGCTTTTAAATGGAGAATAATTTGAGTAAAGTTAAGATTCTTTTTAAAAATAGATTACTTAAAATGTTCTAAATCTAACGATAACAGTAATAACGTTAACACTTTTAACATTTCCGTCCCGATAACCTAAATATCCCGAAGCTATACTGCTAGTTTTATAATAATTCTATCCATAAGAAAAAATAAAATATATGTATGTATAGTTTTAAAATGTATCCATTTTAGGTCACATTTACTTTAGTAACATTCAATAAATCGATAAATATTATCTAAATAATATCTACATTTATTTTCATTTCTTTGAAAGGGAAAATCTGATTTAATCTGTTTTACTTTATGAATGTTGAATGGAAAAATCTGATGCTAATTCAGATTCTTGCTACTTTATAAGCTAATATAATGTTTAATAATTATATAAAATAGCAAAACCAGACGCGATAAGTCGCTCAGTTTGCTAATATAAGCGAATGCGTGATACATTATTCCGACTACATTTGTTACCTTGGTTACATGGTACAGTCGTATTAAATATAATGGAAGTGGTTAATTCAGGTCAACCTCGTGTCAATAAATGTCATCTCAGTGAATCGGTCTCTTCTCGAACTACTCGAAACTCATCTAACATCGGGAAACAACATCCTGTACTTTTCTGCTTCATTAATTACAGAGAAAACAAATAGATACAAGTCTCTTTATTTTTGTTTTTGTTTTGTTAAGTAATGTTAACAATGGAAACTCTTTGTTTTTATTTACTTTAAAACTAGAAACGGTATTGGCTGAACTCAATATATAGGTTTCTTGTTGCTGTATTATTTATTAACTGCACTTACCACCTGTCAGAGGCGAGTGCAATCACTGGGATATGGAAGAAAAATCGGTCCTTGACCCACTCAGCGTACACCTGCTTAAGAGTCTGTTCGTTTCTAAGATGACTACAGCCTTATTCCGAGAGGATTTTGTGACTTAATACTCCTATTCCAAGTGATAAAAATCTATAGGATTAAATTTACAATTAATCAAAGATTAAAGGCGATTTTCTTTTTAGTTTGTTTTCTAATCTAATCTATAATTAAAATTATCATTTCTAAATTAATGAGGTATTAAGGATAACTACATTTTCATTGCCATCTGCGTATCTCTTTAAGATAATACTAAGAAGCTTAAATTGTTCAGTCCTTGAAATTATGATGTCAAACCAGAATCTTTGGATGTGGGTTTAAGTTTTACCTTCCGTATATAACATACATATTTTAAATGAATAACTGTACAATCAAGGACGACAACTACCCAACGATAGTAAACTGCTGAAATATTATGCAACTAAATTATTTCGACAAATAAATAAAACAGTTTCTCTTATTTAATAAATTAGGTGAGAATAACGAACACATGATAAATTTTTCCTACGCAACAATCACTCATATCTGAGAACGAAATCTATTTTAAAGTTTGATAAATGTTTACTTGGAATCATGTCAAGAAAATTGATATAGAATAAAATCTGGTCTTAATTTATTAAGATATATACTAAATTATGCGTAGATAATTTTATTTTCATTATAATAATGATTAAATTTATATTAATTAAAAATAAATCCTCAATCTGGACGAAATTTTGGATTTAATGTTTATAGTAGCTTTTAATTAAATATTAAATTTATTTTCTATTCTTACACATCTTTTATAATACTTGTTTTTTTGTTAGAAAATTCCATCAATAATTTGATTTTTTCCTCTTTTCTTAACAGAGTTCACACAAAACTCATTAACCTTTTTTTGAGAGTAAAACAATTGTTAACAAGGTGAAAACAATATTGAAATTGTTGATGCATTTTCAGTAATGTCAATAAATTCAACACAAGTTTCGTTAAGTATTGTTCTTTGTTATAAACACCGGATCAGTTTCCGTATAGCCATTATCTTCTGTTAACTGGGAATCTGTTTCAGTTGTGTCAGCATNAAAAAAAAAAGTAAAATAAAACGGATAAATGCAGAAAAATTCAGTAGTATTTTTTTAGATTTTATACTGAAAATGCTATAAATCTAATAAAAGCAGTTATAATGCTAAAACTTTCATTCTTTCTGTCCCGTTAACAAAAATGTCCCGAAGCGAAACATTACGAACTTTTTTACGTTACAAAATTTAATGGCTTTTAAATGGAGAATAATTTGAGTAAAGTTAAGATTCTTTTTAAAAATAGATTACTTAAAATGTTCTAAATCTAACGATAACAGTAATAACGTTAACACTTTTAACATTTCCGTCCCGATAACCTAAATATCCCGAAGCTATACTGCTAGTTTTATAATAATTCTATCCATAAGAAAAAATAAAATATATGTATGTATAGTTTTAAAATGTATCCATTTTAGGTCACATTTACTTTAGTAACATTCAATAAATCGATAAATATTATCTAAATAATATCTACATTTATTTTCATTTCTTTGAAAGGGAAAATCTGATTTAATCTGTTTTACTTTATGAATGTTGAATGGAAAAATCTGATGCTAATTCAGATTCTTGCTACTTTATAAGCTAATATAATGTTTAATAATTATATAAAATAGCAAAACCAGACGCGATAAGTCGCTCAGTTTGCTAATATAAGCGAATGCGTGATACATTATTCCGACTACATTTGTTACCTTGGTTACATGGTACAGTCGTATTAAATATAATGGAAGTGGTTAATTCAGGTCAACCTCGTGTCAATAAATGTCATCTCAGTGAATCGGTCTCTTCTCGAACTACTCGAAACTCATCTAACATCGGGAAACAACATCCTGTACTTTTCTGCTTCATTAATTACAGAGAAAACAAATAGATACAAGTCTCTTTATTTTTGTTTTTGTTTTGTTAAGTAATGTTAACAATGGAAACTCTTTGTTTTTATTTACTTTAAAACTAGAAACGGTATTGGCTGAACTCAATATATAGGTTTCTTGTTGCTGTATTATTTATTAACTGCACTTACCACCTGTCAGAGGCGAGTGCAATCACTGGGATATGGAAGAAAAATCGGTCCTTGACCCACTCAGCGTACACCTGCTTAAGAGTCTGTTCGTTTCTAAGATGACTACAGCCTTATTCCGAGAGGATTTTGTGACTTAATACTCCTATTCCAAGTGATAAAAATCTATAGGATTAAATTTACAATTAATCAAAGATTAAAGGCGATTTTCTTTTTAGTTTGTTTTCTAATCTAATCTATAATTAAAATTATCATTTCTAAATTAATGAGGTATTAAGGATAACTACATTTTCATTGCCATCTGCGTATCTCTTTAAGATAATACTAAGAAGCTTAAATTGTTCAGTCCTTGAAATTATGATGTCAAACCAGAATCTTTGGATGTGGGTTTAAGTTTTACCTTCCGTATATAACATACATATTTTAAATGAATAACTGTACAATCAAGGACGACAACTACCCAACGATAGTAAACTGCTGAAATATTATGCAACTAAATTATTTCGACAAATAAATAAAACAGTTTCTCTTATTTAATAAATTAGGTGAGAATAACGAACACATGATAAATTTTTCCTACGCAACAATCACTCATATCTGAGAACGAAATCTATTTTAAAGTTTGATAAATGTTTACTTGGAATCATGTCAAGAAAATTGATATAGAATAAAATCTGGTCTTAATTTATTAAGATATATACTAAATTATGCGTAGATAATTTTATTTTCATTATAATAATGATTAAATTTATATTAATTAAAAATAAATCCTCAATCTGGACGAAATTTTGGATTTAATGTTTATAGTAGCTTTTAATTAAATATTAAATTTATTTTCTATTCTTACACATCTTTTATAATACTTGTTTTTTTGTTAGAAAATTCCATCAATAATTTGATTTTTTCCTCTTTTCTTAACAGAGTTCACACAAAACTCATTAACCTTTTTTTGAGAGTAAAACAATTGTTAACAAGGTGAAAACAATATTGAAATTGTTGATG